GCTGATTATAGTTCCAGTTACAAGGAATAAAAGCCAATGCGCAGTTCCAAACTGTAAAAAAAAGTATAGAATCCGCCATTAACATTTAAACAGCAACACTAAGCTTGCTTGTGAAATTCAGGGCTCGGCTATGGAGGTTTATAACAAGGTATGTATGTTTAATCTATTCGTTTTGTAAATAATTTAAGCTTGAAATGCGTCTTTTCATGATGACGATGGTAAAAAAGTGACCGAATTCAAACGCTGTATCCGCGATGAACGGCTATGTGACATGTGTGCGAACAATCACATCATCATAAGAAAGATGTATTTTACTTCTCAATTTCTGCCTCATGTTTACATCACGCTACCTTTAAGTAAAACTTAAAATAAAACTGAGAGGTAGGTTGGGTAAATATGTTCCATAAAGTGATAAACTTTACGTGAGGACGATTCGGGGAAGACCATTCTACAAAAGTCTATATGTATATGATCCGCCTGCAGAATTGTGATTCTGTCCCTAACTCTCAACAATACACAATACGTAAAAAGTGTTTTTCTCTTTCCTTGACCTTCGTCTATTGTCATTAAAACGCACGTGCAACGTTACTTCAATACTGACAAAGGTACCATATACTTGTTTTGTTCACCATTGAGTGACGTCATTTTCCCAGAGACAGATATCGGTAATATGACCTGACAATGGTGTATCTGTATCCGGAAGAGGAAAGTTATGGTATCGGTAAAAATATTGATGGAATGCATAAATTATTAAATCGTGAGATTGCCAAATATTTTGTATAATCATATACAGATTGGGTTTTAATCGTTTAGTTATTACCATGTACGCTGCCTCGCTTTCGATATTTTGTTGAGCGTCCGTCCCTGTAGGTGGCGCTTTTTTCGTTTCCTGTCCGAAAGGTGCCAGAGTATATGGAAGTGGTAGTTAGTATTCTCTACTGAATGATCAGTTTTAGGGTACTGCTAAGACTGGTTCATCCGTCGTTATGGGTCCCAAGGACAGCTTATGCGTACCGCGGCGTTCATCATCCATTTCTTTATAACGGATTGGGTTTCATTCAAAGCACTACTAGATGGAGGTGATTTAAAAATGTGAAAATTTAGGTTGACCCTCAGAGGAATGGGGCTGAGCCAACAGGAGGAAATTTGGCTATATAGCTATAAGCCATTTCCTCTCTAGTTAGGGAGTATCTAGGGGAGGTGGATATTAAAAAAAATATATATAATCTCCTTGAGGTGTTGAGGGGCGAGTCTGATAGGGAACTCCATTGTATGTAAATGCAGAGGAACGGGACATGTTATGGGTTCATAGAGATAGAAGTTTTAACAATTATTTTTCTACTTGTATGAAGACTCTTTTTTAAAATTTAGTTTAAAGCTTTAAGATTCCTTGTTTCCTGTGGAAAATGTAACACTTTAACTGTGAGCTATACAGGTATCATTTGGTCTTCGTGTTTGTATAATGTATCAGGACCGAGTGTCCTATTAGACAGTACAATTCCAGAATGATAGCACTATAATTAAGGCGTCAGTTCTGCACTATAACAAGCATATTCACACTTTACACGAACATACAAGAAGCCCCACAATCACACGAACCACATGTCCTCGTATATACACGGAGAGATCGTTCATAAACTACTACATATGTTGATAGGACGTTAAGTGACGTATCGGCTGGGACATCACTGTGGTCAATCATATTGGAAAGCCATACCTAATCGATTACTTATTGATCGTCAATCATGATTTTATATATAAAGTTATTTGATTTCGGTTATTCCTTGTGGGGAATTAAAGATCAACATGTGATTCTGCTGCCTTTTTTTCTTTCAAAAAGGTAGATCAGAATTAGGCAGCCTTTTAACTAATGAAGATATAGTTGACACATTCACCTGAAAACGCGAAGAGTACAGAGTGCAACAAACGTTGACGACAATGTTCGGAATCGATTATTATTTTTTCAATCATCGATCGTCACTTGATTTTTTTCTAATCGATAATTTTTTTTTCTGATAATATACAAAATTTCTACGTTAGACAATAAACAACAATCCAAATATTGGGATGTTATTCTTAAATGGCCATATGTGTTAAATGGGCGTTCATTTTTTGCTCAAAACATCACTTTATTTATTTATTATTATTATTTTTTTTGTAATTTGAGAATTGCCTGTACAGTCTGGGCATTCAATGACTCAATTTTAACAATACTGGCGTTGTACTACTGAAACAGTGGCGCCATAGTCCGAACCTGACACGAGACAATTGATCACAATATTTTCTACTTTTAGAATATTTAAATGGAACAGCTCACAAACGGTAAGTCGAGTATCCACTCTGATAGGTTTTAAGGCCTTGTTTCATTTTCACGCAAAATCAATAAAATTTATCTTAGATTTAAAAAAGTGCTGCATAGAGCATTTGATTTTTTAAAATATTCCACTTCGGAAAACTTAAGGCAGTAAGTGTGCCCGGTGTTCGGTAGAATGCAAGCGAAGGTTTTCTTCATCTCAGCTTTTTTTTCTCTCCCTGTTGTGTAAATATGGAATTACGATACTTTTATGCAGCTTTCTATCTCCACGCATATCTATCGTTTACTACTACCGTCAGTGAACCTTGGTGACTCTACCGGTTTCTGGAATGGTATATCTTGATAACAACAAAGTAATTAGCTGTATCTTGATGAGTATGCGTCGCGCGTACACCATCTCTTATGTCCTATATCGGTGTGTGAGTCATCGTGGTTACTAGTTACCCGTATCACCAAACGTACATATTCTCTGAAACAGGTAAATATTCATTTATATAACAACTAGTTTTGCCTTGACAATGTCTTAATTTTAGCTCTTAGTTGAACGTTCGCCCCTGATGGAGAAGCTTTATAATATAGGCGTACCAGAGTCTTTGAAAATCTTAGTTACTATTTCCGACAACACTCTCGTCAATCTGGTAGTGTAAGGACTGGGTAGCAAGTATAATGTGACTGTTTTGGTGGTGTTTTGCATATTCGACTGTACATTTCAGTGTGACAGCACTTTACGATCCTATCTATCACAATGAGGCTTACAGGATTATATCGTAACCTTCTATATACCCACCCGCATATATAGGTAGCCCGTCCTTACATGATCATAGCTGTTGGAAGGACGTTAAACAATACCATTAAAATCAAAACGAAACTGTTCTCCTCGGAGTTCGATTGATGGCAAACAAAATAGTATGTGCTGATTGCTTTCATCTTCAACCATGTGGAAAACAAGTTCGATACTGTGAACTTTTATTGAAAGATAACATTTCTGGTTCATTGACACAAGCCTCAGTTGAACAATTGATGAAATGGTCGGAATGTAACACTAGAACGCTTCTGTTTGCCTTCAAAAACATTTCGTAGAAATGGGAAAAAATTAAAACTACATTGACCAATAACACAACACAATGATGTGGGTATTGAATGGGTGTTTGTTTACTCGTAACTCACAGCTTTGTGAAAGGGTTCATTTTCATTCGCATGATTCTATTGCTGTCCTAATTAGGACTTATTGTGATCACAACGTCACAAAAATATTTAGATAAGAAATGTTTGCAGAAAGTGGAATGGTATTACCTTAATTGTTATAGCTTAATGATTACATCGCCGACTATTGGAATATTCAATTACGCTAAAGTAGCGTTAATCTATAAGCTAGAGTCCCGCTGAACTTCCGCCATTGATGATAACGATTTATGACGTGTCGCCATAGAAAAAGAACGAATTTGTACAGGTATATCACTTTGACGATAAACAGTACCATATGCTAGTATCAGTACAGATGTCAGTGGAGACTGAAGGATGCTGTCGAAAGGTTGTGGTTGTGGATATATTGCGAAACATTGCCGGAAGTGTGTTGTTTCGGCTTTAGTTCTAGGTTTACAGATGACATGTGAAGAAGGAGTTTATCCAATATTGCGTTCATAGTATTATAAATGTCATCAAATGAAGGTAGAGTTCCATACATGCATTGGCACAGACAAGGATACCGCATGTGGATGTTGCTATTTTCATCTCCCGCGAGAATCGACAAACGGTGTTGTGATATTAGGAGAATTATGTTAATTTAGATACAAGTTCATTCTACACTTCACAATCAAACCAATTACAGATGCAGGTGAACTAGGAATTGGATATAGCGCAATAGGTAGATAGCAGCATTCTCTGTCGTAATTTGTTTCACGTCTTCTATACAACAGTAGAGACATTAGCCTAATCGTGGATAATGTGATTCTGGGATTTGTTTGAAACTTGAATATTACTAAATTACATGTTTGCAAAAAAAGGAAACATCTAGCAATATCATGGAGGAATCTTCGCTGTTATTTTCATCAAAACTAAACAGAATCAAACCTTCTCCCGACAGTCAATATAGGGTGTACAGTAAACAGAACCAACAGAGACAACCAAAAACAAACACCAGGAAAGAGGTTCCGAACGGAAGAGGAAATATTGTTCAGAGCGACATTAATCGTGAAACTGAACTTCCTGCTGTGAAAGAAAGTGTAAATGAAAAAGACAAGAAACTCGATATAATACCATCAAATAGGAAAGAGAATACTGATCTGCATATTCGCCTGGACGATATAACGGAAGGGGAAGTAATCCCGACACGTCTAAATCAACATGTAGGTTTTAATGTTACATCCTGATTTGCCAATAAGGTGATATTATCTTTTAAAATTTATAAAAAAAATTAGAAAAAAAAATTGTGAGGATGGAGAAGGAATCGAATCGTTCTGTAATGGTATATTTGTGTTAAATTTGATTTCAAACAGAATGTTTGAAGAATGATTCAAGTCATCATTGTTTTCTCTTGAGCAGAAATGGATATCTTATCTTTCACAGGGAATATATATGAAGTCACGATTTCCTGAGTGTGTTTGATAGGAATGTTACATTGTACGCTATCATTTTTTTTCTCATGATTGTTTAGGAAAGTTCCGGTAGCGACGCAAGTGATCCGGAAATGCCCGCCCATCAAAACACTTCCGGTTCGGCAAGGTCGAGAGTAAAAAGTGCCCGATCGAACACGTCATGGAAACGAAACCAACAGGACAATGTTGATGATAAGGTAATCAGTATTGCTACTCAGATTTACGTCTCGTAAAGGTATCGACTGAGAGTGAATATCTATTGATTTGATTAATATCAAAAGTATACTTTGTGTGATCATCGTAAAACAAAAATGTGTTCGAAAAAATCATCAGCTGCCTGCTTTAGGTCATTTTGATCACTTGCGAAAACAGTGTATGTGATTCCATTTTACGATCGATAATCTTCGTATTCATGAAATTGATACTCGCTTTCCCTACAATATGGATTTATCCCAGAAGAGATGGCAAGGAGTGACAAACCAAATTCTAAATATGATGATGACTGCATGTCTTTGAATCCGAAGTGTTTGCTCGCAAAAGTAATCTGATACCCATATCGCGACAACTGAGCAATCGCATTTGCCTTCTTTGTTTCCATTGGTCTTTGATTAGGAACTTAACTCTTCCACCCGATTCAAATTCAATCCAAACACGATGAAATAAACCAAGCATACCCCAATTTTGTGTTCGCGTGTCCACTCCTTTCGAAAATGCCAAAATTAATGTCGATACAAATCAGTCCTGTGCGAGAATTGAAACTCTTCCATGACTTTCAATACAACCAGATATTGACTTTTCACCTCATACAAAGATCAAAACTGATAATGATCCTTATACCTGTCGTTTTTCATTCTCATTACTACACTCAAACTCAATGTACTGATGTTTCAAAAGACACTCATGAAGCCAAGGTAACTCTGGATACAGACTTGAATGCCGACCACTAAACAAAACGTCGATTTGTTCTGCAAATCTACCAAGTTCTTGAAACAATCAGATGAAAGTATGCCAAGAGCAGTTGTTTATTCGGATTCATTTTCTGTTTTATAAAATCTTTACAATAGGAATATCTACAACGTTTTCATTTCAACACATTGGTATTACTACATGACTTGTAATGTGTTTTGCTGTGTTCCTTTGAGAAGTGGGAATTAGTATCAGTTTATTGAAAAATCCGATCGTTGAGCAAAAATGACTTTATTGTTAAAACCCGTAAATATTTAACTTCATTTTACACAGTTTAAATCAATTTTGGACACGTTTTAACGTCACGGTGGGGAAGATCGGATTTAGTAAACAGAAAACAATTTACATTCGATAAACAAAAGTTAAGTGAATGGTCTTGTTATAGAGACAGGTAAAGATATAAAGACTCCCTACCCGCGTGCATATAAAACATACTCGTATACGCTGAGGAACAAAGACCAGCCTCAGCGCGAAGCATGCAACGAACCATTTACAGAAAAAAAAATTGCAGTTGGACTATATTGGCTTATAACCTACCGGAAGTCAGTCTTTTTGAAAATTTAGGATTATCTGAAAGCTGATTGGTTGTTTAAGTACATTTTGTACTCTATTTCTTTAATCCTGTTGTCTTGATCTTATTTTCTCTGTTGACAGGTCGTTAAATGCTTTCATATCAGCCATTGCCTTGCTTTTGGGAAGATATGTAACCTAACCACACAAACAGTTCCGCTTCCCTGTAAATATACAGGTCCATTTGCTTATCATTTATTTCTAAAATACTTCTACCACAGGACACCAAAAGAAATGTGCGGACAACGGATAAAAAACTCCGAAAGACTCCGAAGGCCACTGAACTTATTGAGGTCCCGAACACATTGAACAAAGAACGTAAGTTACATCAGTAATTTCTCCAAGTAGGTGAAACGTTTCGTTCTACATAGACGGTGATTACACATCTATGACAGACTTATGAAGTGTATTAGGTTCTAAAAACTGGCATATGAAGTCGTTCAACAAGTTGTCTGTTTCCATATCTTGTACTTTATGAACGTCTTGCATGTACCATTCGTATGATTCTAAAATACCCTGTGTAGAATAGAAATTGTCTGCGCGAGCATAAGAAGTTTCCTATCCACTTATAATATTGCAATAGGAAGTTTTGATGTTTCGTAAATATCTAACCTATACAGATACAAACGTATTTTTAATTGTTAACTTTTATTCGTACACACGAGTTGCTTCCCTTTGTCCCTTTGATCCTGTAAGTTCGCATTCGGATTAATTGTTTGGCGTGCTCTGTGTGTTGTGTTGTAGCAATACAGGACGTGAACGATCCCGAGGAGAAAGCACTTCAGAACATGGCGGAACATTTAAGGGATTACAGTCGACAGCGACTTCGGGCGGTACACATGAGTCTCCGTCACTATAGCAACGTAGAATTGAGGGTGTCACAGAAGGACCTCGGTCAAGCATTTCAGGTAATTCTAAGAGGGTATTGTAGTAAAATCGATTATTTGGTAACTTTACTAACTTCGAAGATTGTATAAAAATAGATTTAGGATAAGATACAGTTGAGGCAAAATGTGACTAGATAATGAATACAATTGATGTATCCTTTTATGATTCATCATGATGCTTAATAAGGTCACTTAATTTTGAAATCAAGGAGGCGAATGAAAAAATCAAACCAAACTTTGAGTAGGTACACTAGTCAAACAATTCAAAGAGATATTCAGTATTAAATTTGACAACTGATGATTTATTAAAAAGTTTAATTAACATATCGATATTTTTGGGGGCATTCGCATTATCAATGTATAAAAAATTGGACGATGGTAAACGTTCTTCGGCCAATGCTTAAATGACCTGATATTAATCATTAAGGATCATCTTGTATTGATTGTTGAGGTTGGTCCTGAATGTTTACAATTGTCAAACAATACACTCCAGCCTTTAGATGATTTGTTCTGAGACATCAACATATAGTGTTAGCTGTGCATTACTGTAGCCTAGGGAGGAACGTCTGATGTCTGGTTAACGATGTCGGTATTTTCCGAATTAGTTCTTTAGCGGTAGAAACAATATCAGACAGATTGCCACACCTGTTGATGACATCAAGTAACATCCTTTGCATATCCTCCCCGTTTATCTCCAGCCCTATTCCTTCACGTCCATAGTTGTTTTTGTGTTGACGAAATACACTAGGTTAATGAGAGCTGAAAACCAAGATTTTGCGCATTTTTCATATTTGCAGAATAAAATTTGTCCGACATCGGGGAAAGTCGGTCTTTACGGCAATGGCGATAATGCAATTGTTATAGGTAATCTACAATATTGTATATAAACCAGTTCATCTACAATATTGTATATAAGCCAGGTAACCTACAATATTATTATTGTCTTTATTTCCTCCAAAGATGAAGAGCATTACATACAAATTACAAAATAAATCAACTTGAAAAGCATACAATTAAGTAGGAAATTAATGTAGATTTTACAAATTATGATTACATACAATATGTTAGTTTTATGTAATTTATACTCCGTGAAGAATTGTCTTGCAAGTTATAATGTTATGAAATAATTACATACTAAGTATATATGTCACAATAATATGTTTTAAGTGTATATGATACAGAAGGCCTCCTGGCGCACTATACATAGCCATATAGTTCAAGCATCCTTTTTATAGAACATGCTGACTTCAGTCTAAATTGTTCAAAATCATGTTTGTCTAACTGATAGGCCAGAGGACCTCCTAGTAAAATCTGAAGCAATATATACCTCCTTAAACCTGATATATTGTATATAAATCAATTAATCTACAATGTTGTATATAAACCAGTTAATCTACAATTTTGTATATAAACCAGTATATAAATAAACCAGTTAATCTACAATATTAAACCAGTATATAAATAAACCAGTTAATCTACAATTTTGTATATAAACCAGTTAATCTACAATATTGTATATAAACCAGTTAATCTACAATTTTGTATATAAACCAGTTAATCTACAATATTGTATATAAACCAGTTAATCTACAATATTGTATATAAACCAGTTAATCTACAATTTTGTATATAAACCAGTTAATCTACAATATTGTATATAAACCAGTTAATCTACAATATTGTATATAAACCAATTAATCTACAATGTTGTATATAAACCAATTAATCTACAATATTGTATATAAACCAATTAATCTACAATATTGTATATAAACCAGTTAATCTACAATATTGTATATAAACCAATTAATCTACAATATTGTATATAAACCAATTAATCTACAATATTGTATAGAAACCAATTAATCTACATATTGTATATAAATCCGTTAATCTACAATATTGTATACAAATCCGTTAATCTACAATATTGTATACAAATCAGTTTACTGTTTTTGTGTATTTTTGCCAGGAGAACCATGTGAAACTGTCTAATCGAGTGGTACAACTGCTGCTAGAGAGATTCGAGGACCAACATGGCGTCGACTTTGAGAAGATGTACCGTTACCTTACAGATGCGCATACTCGCTCAGGTAATATCCGGTAGAATCATTAAGGTATTTTATAGCCCACAATTTGTTTACATTTTCACAATGTAGATAATGAAATAAGAGAAATGAAATAATTTTTTAAAATAATTTTTGAATTAATTACAAACGTTTGATATCAACTTTATCCACCCAACTGTACTATCAGTGTAATAATTTCGATTTTAATATGCTAAAAATATTTTCTAGATACATATAGTAGTCTTATATAACATACGAACGTACAAATATATACATAACATGTATATCTATACACAAATTCGGACCACACATCCCCTCCCTCCCAGATTCACATTATGGGTACTAGATATTTCTGAAGTAATGGCTAACCAGGTATTGAGCGTACTATTCAATGCTGAGTTAAAAATGGGTCACTCTTTATTTTTTTATATCACCACTCTGGATCAGAATCCGTAATCATTATATTATTACGAAGTAATTTCACCTGACATATCGTCATCGTTATATTCAGGTAGGGATAGTGTGATGGCGTTACAAAGCAGAAACGATTTGATTCCAAGACCGGAAATGACATCAGAAGAGAAGGACAATGACCTTTTGGCGCGGTTGGAGGACCTTCTTGTGCGGAGTAATACATTTTTTGACCTACCTGAGCTACGGGAGGCCTTTCAGTACAAGGATCGCGATAAGACTGGACGGATCGAGAAGTCGGAGGTGAAAGTTTACTATTGATCGATAGTGGTATAGAAATGAGGTATTGAACCGTTGATATAATTATCTGAATGGAGATAAATAAATAAGCACCTTGCCTTATTTCCTTGAATTTTGTCAGAAATATTCGTGTATTTTTTGTTTTTTTTTTTTGGCAAGGTGGGGGGGGGTCTAGTTTTATTGAATTTGAGTTGACATTAACATTCATGTTATATTCATAGTGTTAGGTGTTTTAACTTAACATTTCCACTGCTAAGAACGCAAGACTGTTGCTTATCTTTTCCTTCTTTCCATCAACTGTACTTCATAGTACATTTATGTGTGCTTAATACCAACCAGATATTCTACAGTCATACATACAACCTTACACATTGATACACTGATATTGTAATATTAGTATAAAATATTTCATTCGCATTAATTCACCGACTAAAGACATTCAACATCCTTGTTTAGTTCTAAATGGACGAAATGGCAATGATGCAGCCCCATTTATTATTTCCTGACGCGCTATCTTTTTTAAAAAGGTCTCTTCTTGTGTCTTTTGTGCAATTCCTAATGATGGCTCTTCATTTGTTGGCTAGACTTTTGTTGATTACAATATGTACCTTACCAATATGCACTGGTTTTTACACTACATAATACACTGTGGTATACGGAAGCGTATTCCGGCCACGTTGTTATCTCGAAATTTCGAGTTGCTATCTCGAAATTTCGCGTTACTATCTCGAAATTTCGCGTTGCTATCTCGAAATTTCGGGTTCCTATCTCAAAATTTCGGATTACTTACTCGAAATTTCGCGTTGCTCTCTCAAAATTTCGGGTTCCTATCTCAAAATTTCGGATTACTTACTCGAAATTTCGCGTTGCTATTTCGAAATTTCGGGTTCCTATCTCAAAATTTCGGATTACTTACTCGAAATTTCGCGTTGCTCTCTCAAAATTTCGGGTTCCTATCTCAAAATTTCGGATTACTTACTCGAAATTTCGCGTTGCTATCTCGAAATTTCGGGTTCCTATCTCAAAATTTCGGATTACTTACTCGAAATTTCGCGTTGCTATCTCGAAATTTCGGGTTCCTATCTCAAAATTTCGGATTACTTACTCGAAATTTCGCGTTGCTATCTCGAAATTTCGAGTTACTGATTTCGATTTACTAACTCAAAATTTCGAGATAAAATAAAACACAACGTGGCCGGAATACGCTTCCGTAGTAATACCTTGCAATGAAATATATAAAGATTTGTATTTTGTTGACTTAGATGTTTGACATCTGTGGACGGAGAAACGTACCCGTGTATGGCGCATTACTGAAGGCACTGGTCAAGCGTTGTGACGGCGATAACAATGGCATGGTAAGGTATGTATACAACACGACAATATTACTACTGCTTGTATCTCTCTCCGTATTGTCTTGATAACCCATACAAGGAGCTGCGATTGTTCGGTCGATAGAACATCCAATTATTGCATAAGACCATCCACTTTATCCCTATTTATTGCAAATTTGTTTCCATGGAATCAAGATTATCTAATTTGCTGTTCTTTTGTTGTTGTGATGTTGGGTTAGACACTTTACCAGGATTAATATGCAAAGATGTGACGGATCTCCCGAATTGGGTTCAGGGATTGCGCCACCATCCAGGAAAATACGCCCCACAACAATGAAGATATGATAAATATATTTTGTTTTGACCACCATCCGTATTAAACATATCATCATATGTTACGGGACCCCAATCCTGTTCGTGTTTCGGCCTTTTGTCAAGACTCGCACAGTCTTTTCCTATTTTTTTCTTTTTTTGGTTTTTTATTGTTATTTTCCTCATCCTTGCAAGTAATGAACGGTTTCGAAACACTAGTGTGCATAATTGAATTGTACAAGAACCCTCCTCATTATTTCTGCCCATTTGTCATTGATTTCAAGTCACGTTTTTCATTTTGGTTGTCATGACTCGACTCATATCTTTTCTGGGTAGAACTATATTAAATGTGACAATGATACCTCAACTAGTTTCTTTAAAGCGATGCGACCTGTGCGTTTGATAACAAGCAAAGCACGTGTCGTACACTTCAATATTTTTCTTTTGTGAACGATGCTGTTCCAAAAAATGTATTCCAGTTACTTCTTATAGCTCAACAAGTGTTTTATGTTTTCAAAACCCGGCCAATAAATTGTCACCTTTTCGTATAGTTTAAAGATTGGTATAAACTTTTATTTCATATCTCTTTACATAACATCAGTAGTAACATCAAACAGGTTATTGAAATCTATGGAAACAACTTTTACAACTTATATAAATCTATCCATGTAGCTTAAACATTGCTTGCGTAAGGTTTGTGTAAATGCCTTGACACATCATACTAAATTTTGTAATTTTGAAATGGAATGTCTCTTGTTTTACTTTTTATGTACTTTCCATTAAAGTTGGCCGGAATTCCTTAGTTTCCTGGAAAAAGCACAAGAAACAACATGGAAGAAACACCCGGAAATGGCAGAGTTACCGGAACAAGCAAAGAAAGCTCAGATCCAAGCAGACCCCATTGTTGAGCTCTCAGAGGAGACAAAGTCCAAACTGATCGGCAAGCTCTTAAGCAAAAAGGTGATCCACGAGAATTTTTATGTAGTGATAGTTTTCTTACGGTTGAAACTGTAATGTAATTTAAATACATATCCCGTACATTAGCGAAATAGTTGCCAACACAGGGTCTTTCCCTTTGTTCGGATAGAAGATACGCAATAAACGACAAGGCCAATCAACCTATATGCAAATCCATTGATATTCGCAATTACCAAAGAGAATGTCATTTATCCATCATATAAATTCCTTACAAATATTTATCTCCATGTTAAGGCGTCCCTTTCAAAAGTGCGGAACGCAAAAAAGAAAGAAGAAAGTCAGGCTAATGCCAAAGAGCAAGTAAAGGACACCGACAAGAAACCGGAAATAAAGAAACCGGAAATAAAGAAGGACGCCATAAGTGAGGAACCGGACAAAAAGCAAGAGAAGACGAGTACCGAGAAAGTAGTAAACCAAGAGCAGACGAAAACAGAAGACCGACCGAATCCACAGGAGGAAGTCCTTCCTAAAAGTAAAACGGAAGAATTGCCTCGCAATGAAATCAAAGCTGGAGATACTGTAAAACCGGAAGTAACAAACCAGTCACAAGCTGAGAGCACTGTAAAAACCGAAGATAAAGCTACGGCGGTGTCAAGTGATGCAAAGGCACAAAAACACACAGAAAGTAAGATTTTGATTTTACAATTGATCTATGTTGTTTACAAATGTAAAATATAACTATTTAGTTCAATCTTTCTATTAGTACGCACTCTCATCCATTCTTCATTCTTGAGATACAACTCTATGTTTGTCACACAATTAGTTCGATGTTCCAGTAGGTAGTTGCTAAATTAATGGTTTTCCCTTCTCTACTATCGATTTACTGTCAAATTAAGCTGAGAAATTCTGAATGAAATCATATTCACATATGTGTCTTCAATTAATATTATTATGCATGATTGTTTTTGCTCACTTAAATATCCTCATCTGTAATGTACGCAATCCACTGATTGCAATTCAATGTTTGTAACAACCTTGCATGCCAACGGAACGCTTTTTCTTATCTAAAACATTGCAAATAATTGGAATATCATTACGATTGTCTCCTCACTGTTGATTTGGGTATAGCGGAGGATTGATCAGCTGATAGCTGTGTAGTTTTGAGTAGTAATTCTCTTACCACCAGTTACGCTGAATTCGATTAGTAGCTTTCAGCAACGTAGAGCGCTGATAACAATAGCTATGTGCCAACTAGCTCAGAAACTGGGTGAAATTAGGACAGATCCCTGCGAAGTCCTAAAATTGATAGTTCATACTAATGGATTATCAATTGCCCTCTTAAAGAATTAGGAATGTAGACTCTGTTGTTATGAAATGCCGCCAAATAAAGAAAAAGAAAGAAAAAAAAGTCGAATCCTTGGGAAGCGGCAGTTGATTTTTCAAGGAATTATCCTTAACGGGAAAAGGGAGGCAACCGCTGCTGGCGTAGTCTTTCGTAATGCAGACTGAATAACTACATTAGCGTGTGAAAAGTAGTATTAGTAAAAGGTTATCGCGTTTTGCTGGTCGGTTTATCTTAACAACAAACATGAAGAATGTAAATATCTATAATTCTGATGTTTTATTTGGGCGTTTTCTAGCAGAAATGAGTTTAAATGGTTTGGCGAGTTAATAATGCGTGTAATATAAGGTTTGGGTGGCTATACTAGTGAACTCTTAGTACAGGGTTAGGGTGATATTGGGTTTAGAGATCTCATGTTAAGTTGTTTACTGGAGTTTCAGTAAGAGTTTGAAAGATTTCGTGAAATTAATTCTTCACTGAACATGTTGGATTGAGGCTCTGCGTGGTTGGAAGAGTGGACTCAAACATAGGGTTAAAATGCGTTTTGAGTCGCCAGGTAACAGCGAAGAATAATGGCGCGCTGTTTTATGTGTAGAATATTAGTTTCAATATTGTGTACCAGTGAGTCGTGATCTGTACCTCTCATTGGGTCAACTGTAATCACTGTGTCTTTATCGCTTTGTCTTTGCATGATCTTCTCTCTTCAATAACTATCTCTCTAGACATGCGCAAGATGAAGGGACTGGTGAAGACTTCCTCCGGGTTCATACACTCCGTCAAGTCCTTCATATCAGGTATGACGTCACTATGTGACGTGTTCCGAATGCTGTATACTACACAGGTGACATTTAGTTTTTAACAAAGAAAACCCTTATTTATGATATATCCTTTTCTTTCTACATTATTTAATCTTTATCGTATGTAAATATGTTTTTACCTATGACCATATCCTAGTTTCAGTGCTCATCGTGTATGTTAGAAGGCGTCTTATTTCGAGAGGAATTGGTTTTCATTCTTTTTTTTTTTTAAAAATAATCTTATTTTCGGCCATCTAATTCCTGATTTAGACAAAAAACATGTAGATTGATACCCATGAATGTGAATTTTCCCACAGGCCTTGAAATCAGCCTTAGTTGAAGTAATTTTTATTATTGTTCCATAGCGTTTGTAAATAATTTTTATAACTTTTGTTCCAGTTACCGTGACGTTTTGGTAACATAATTCTATATACTTAAACTTACTTAACAAAAGTTTACAATGAATATGCATTTTTTTGTTATTTGTGAGATTTATCGTAAAAAAAGCCTTTTTATGATGCAGTGGACTAAAATTTAAAGGCCAGTATTTAATTCATTTTTATTAATCTAAAATTGAAATGTACACTTTTTTATGTTGTCTACATTGTCGTTATCAGATCTCGGTAGTTGGTTGTAAGATGTAAAAACTTTATTCAGATGTGCAATGTAATGTAAAGAAATAAAAAAAAACTCTATATTTATGATTTAACATAGACGATTAAGTTTTTTTTACCTCTATTTACTATTTCGTCGTGACAGGTAAAAAGAAAGTGGAAACAGAAAATAAAACAGCGCCCGCTGAGGCGAATCAAGAGTCTCCCGAACCAGTATCGAAAAAGGAAGACGACTCCAAACAGGTCACAGAAAGTAATGTATCTTTAATTTTTAAATTTGGTTTTTAGAAAAAAATTCAAATATTAAACATATCAATATCTTTTTTTTTTATAGTTTTTCGATGTTCAGTTTTCTTCAATAGACGTCTGTTCATAGCATTAACACACAGCATTATATTTGTAGGCATCCGATTTTCTTAAATTGAAATGAATGTGAAAAGGTAAAACAACAAAAATAACTAATCTAGTACATGTAATGGATTTTGCTTACCGTTATTTGAACCGAAAATAATCAACAGAGTTTACAGAGAGTAGAATGACACTCATAATACTTAAATGTAGGAAAAGGGAAAAGTGTGTACAAGCCAGCCATTTTATCTCACGACAGAAAAAGATCAACCCAACCATGTGACGGAGGAGGACAAAGATGGCATGTTATGTATCAAACGTGGGGACCAGACCATCAAACTCCCTAAACCTGCTAACTACGACCAGTTAGAATCAACTCTAGACCCTCCACAGGAACGCCTCACCCTCGACTGGGTGTAAGTGATCAAATTGTTGTTAGATATATCAGGGGTCTTTATCCTGTTTCACAGGATCCATTTTTTAAATAAACTATTTTTGACAATGTATAATTACTGTGAATACAGTTTATATAAATATATACACAGGATTGTTTACTGTAAACGTACATCAATTTTCGCGATGAAATTTTGGCGAATGAAAATCGTTAGAATATGATTACCAGTTAAATATGGACGTATATAATAATTATATTCGTCATTATATCATCCTAACGATTGTCCTCCCTAGGTATGGTTACCGTGGTAACGACTGCAGGTCCAACATTCACGTATTGGGAAATGATGATGTTGTGTATTTTGTGTCCAAGATCGCGGTGCTCTACGACCGAACCAGCCACAGACAGCGACACTACAGGGAACACACAGAAGACATCAAATGGTAGTACACGTGAAATTAGATATAACTAAGACGGCAGCGCATTTTCTCTCAGTTTACTTAAATCCACACGTTTCTAAAGCCAACTGATAATAACACTTACATTTCCAAATTAAATCAAATGTAACATCGTCTGGGAGAACTGGTATCAGATCACACACAAAATCAACAACAAGAGATGATATGTTTTACATACTGTTACCACATCATGTTAAATTTGACATTGGCGAACGTCAAGCTGACATCGAAAGACATTAGTTTTAGAAGTTCCTAGTAACAAAAAAAGTTGTATAATTGACTAGCTGTATAATGATCTGATTTATAAGTAAGTTTTAAAATGTACAGAATTATTTGGCAAGTTAACTCCCTATTTAGACTTTTAAATTTCTGTCAATCTGCTTAAATTTTCCCCAGTTGCCTCTAAGTTTCTAAATTTTAGGCATTTAACATCACTGATGATTCCTGCCATCATATCACTGTATAAGGAATTTGGATTCATTGTTTAACCTTACTGAATCAAACTATTCTTTTTTCCTTGAGATATGTCATTCATTGTTTTGTCTTTTAAATTTTTAAGTTATTCATTTTTGGAGTTTTTAATTTTAATTTCATAACATCAGATTACCGTAAATGTAGAGTAGAGGGTTCAAAGCTTGAATGATATTTTCCTTCTATTTTACAAAACAATATTCCTTCTATTCTACAAAATAACATATTCCTTGCATTCTACAAAATAATAAATTCCTTCTATTCTACAAAATAACATATTCCTTGCATTCTACAAAATAATAAATTCCTTCTATTTTACAAAATAACATATTCCTTCTATTTTACAGCGTTGCCGTACATTCTAACTTATCTATGGTGGCCTCGGGACAATTTGCTGGGAAGGATAACATCAGTGTAAATTTCATTGAATTCTTTAATGATCTTTTGATTTATATATATATATCATTTGTACCATATACTATTTTAAATGTTGTACAATGCAGTTTGATTCATCGTTCTATTGCACTACCTTCGCGATTGCATGTGGGAGACGACTGCATGCCACGTTTTCATTCTTTGGAATTGTACCGTGATTCAGGAAATACTCAAATACTTGACGTTATATTCGATATGTGAAGAGTGTGAAATATATTGAATTGTAGGGCTAGTGTGTCTACCAATATAGATTTTGACTTTGGGGGATATTTAGGCCCTAGCATCACTGACGAGTCCTAGAAGGACGAAACTAATGTATGATGTAGCATCACTGACGTGTCACAGAAGGACGAAACTGCTGTATGATGTAGCATCACTAACGAGTCCTAGAAGGACGAAACAGTTGTATGATGTAGCATCACTGACGGGTCCTAGAAGGACGAAACATTTGTATGATGGAGCATCACTGACGGGTCCTACAAGAACGAAACTGCTGTATGATGTGGCATCACTGACGAGTCCTAGAAGGACGAAACTGCTGTATGATGTAGCATCAGTGACGGGTCCTAGAAGGACGAAACAGTTGTATGATGTAGCATCACTGACGGGTCCTACAAGGACGAAACTGATGTATGATGTAGCATCACTGATGAGTTCTAGAAGGACGAAACAGTTGTATAATGTAGCATCACTGACGAGTCCTAAGAGGACGAAACAGTTGTATGATGTAGCATCACTGACGGGTCCTAAAGGGACGAAACAGCTGTATGATGTAGCATCACTGACGAGTCCTAAAGGGACGAAACAGTTGTATGATGTAGCATCACTGACGGGTCCTACAAAGACGAAACTGCTGTATGATGTAGCATCACTGACGAGTCCTAGAAGGACGAAACAGTTGTATGATGTAGCATCACTGACGGGTCCTACAAGGACGAAACTGCTGTATGATGTAGCATCACTGACGGGTCCTAAAGGGACGAAACAGCTGTATGATGTAGCATCACTGACGAGTCCTAGAAGGACGAAACAGTTGTATGATGTAGCATCACTGACGGTTTCTAAAGGGACGAAACAGCTGTATGATGTAGCATCACTGACGAGTCCTAGAAGGACGAAACAGTTGTATGATGTAGCATCACTGACGGGTCCTACAAGGACGAAACTGCTGTATGATGTAGCATCACTGACGGGTCCTACAAGGACGAAACTGCTGTATGATGTAGCATCACTGACGAGTCCTAGAGGGACGAAACAGCTGTATGATGTAGCATCACTCTCGAGCCCTAGAAGGACGAAACAGTTGTATAATGTAGCATCACTTACGAGTCCTTTTAGGACGAAACAGTTGTATAATGTAGCATCACTGACGAGTCCTAGAAGGACGAAACAATGTTTTCATGCAGTTGACTTCATTGTTGAACTCTGCTATAACGAACAAGTGTAAAAAAAAAACTTGTGTTAAAAGGTGTATATTTTGTACAAACATCTGAAAAATGTAGACTCCTAGCATTACTGACGGGTACGAAATAACTGTTAATGAAGTCTTATTGGTTATTTGGCTCAACCATATCTGATTTTCATTATTATTATTATCATTATATTTTTTGGCAATGGCATGTGTTATTCTCTTGTCTGTACAAATTTAGTCACCCAGTTTACACTTTAACATGCAGGTTGATGTCTCCATAGACCCGCGATTAGGTTTTAGGAGGTTTATACCGATTGTCTATATCACATTGGGAAATATTCTCAGCAAATCATGATTCTAATGTTCTTCAGGCACACATCCGGATATGGCGGGTGGACAATCTACAGACTATGTGTGTACTGGGGGAGGGCATGTTTAAAAAGGCGGTCATGTCTCTTTCGTTCGCAAACGGACAGGTAATTATGTTTCACAACATATTTAGGCCAAACAAAAATGTATGTTTCCTGTAACATGTTGGAAAAATCTAGGGTAAGAAGGCAGGATAAAACGTTTGTATAGGAGAGAGATCCTGACTTTAACAATGCTTCTTTGAATTAACATAAAATCTTTCAGATAGACACAACATATTAAGGTAGGTGGGGTAGCCGGAAACAGAAAAAAACATTTCTGTTTAGCCTTACATATACTTATATATATTATTATTATTATTATTATTATTATGAAACTAAATATATAAAAAAGTACTTCTTTGTGTTTCTATAACACCATTTCATGAACAGCGTGTAAGTAAAATTAATTGTATAAATACATTCCTGGATCAATATAAGAAAGCTAACAAAAATGTTGATTTGGATTATCAGAACTGATTACCTACATATTTAATGTCTAACTTTTCACGTCATTGCATCATTGACTGAATTTCAATGGAGGTTGTCTCCCCTGCTTTGCTATGTAGTGTTATGATAAATGAACTATTGAGTGACCTTCTATTGTAGGACATGCTGGCAGCCGTGGACAATAGTTTAGAGAAGAAACTAACACTGTGGGACGGTGGATCAGGAACACTGATTGCAGAAACAATGGTAAAATATATTTGATACAATGTTTCTAGATAATTAGTAGGCTGATAAGGCATAAAACAGTTTTCATTTTTTCCCAACACTTTTGAAAACAAACAATCTACCACCTTATCGTATTGTTCTACTATTACCGATTTTCTTTGGTATTCAGGTATGAATTTAAAGGAGTTTTTAGAGGAAAGGCGAGTGTGTTGTATAATGCGTAACTCGTACTCCTAAGGCAAATAAAGCGTTATCCTTCCCAAACATTTTTTTTTATCATATTTGGTTCTCAGATCTGCGAGCATTTATCATTTTATCCTGCCTTATAAACATTCTGATAAAGGTACTATAAGATAAGGTAAGATAATATCCGGAAAATGTGTTCATGGTTTGTTTTTAACTGAATAGTCAGTGATATCATAAATGATGATGTGATGGGCAAAACCAAGCGTCTAGAAGACTTTGATTTGTTTCACCTGACAATGATAATGTGATGAGCACGACCAAGCGTCTGCAAGACTTCGATTTGTTTGACCCGACAATGATGATGTGACGAGCACGACCAAGCGTCTACAAGACTTTGATTTGTTTGACCTGACAATGATGATGTGATGAGCACGACCAAGCGTCTACAAGACTTTGATTTGTTTGACCTGTCAATGATGATTTGCGATACAATGTCTTGTCAAGAACTGTAGTCAAAGTATTAAACTCAAAAACGGACAAAACTGACTGATAAGGCCCTCCCCAGAAATTGAAGTCAGCAAAAAGCACGGTCTGTATCGGTCTTATTTAAAATCATGTCATCAATAAATACGAAGTTTCGACTAAGTTCATATAAACATATTGCATCCTCCGACAAACAGACTCCACACATGGACGCGCCTCGCTGGATAAGAAACCGTCAAATCATTCCTAAAGCTTTGATAGGAAGTTTACCAACACAAAACCAGAATCATATCGACAAAACTTAGTATATGTACATCAGGGAGGAAGTCAGTTCACTTAACTGGTTTATAAGAATCCGTAGTTGTGTTGGTCCTGTTATTTTCTAGTGCCTAAGTCAACACTTTTACACGTTACAATTACTCAGATTCCCTAATGCCAATTTAGTTGAGCTTTTGCTTTTCTAAGGAAGTCTTACGGTTAGGAACCCTTGTTTAACTATCAGCTTTTTGGAAGAGAAATAAGTGATTCTCCATTTGTGTGTATGCCATGATCTGGTGTGGTGTCTGGTTGGGAGTCTTCGGTTTAAGTCGGTATCAGCTCTACACTTTCACAAGGAGTATTAAATGTTACTATCACAACCTATGAAAAGTACACACAGTCCATAATGTCCACCTCGCATTCAGCTGGAGACAGTCCTTAAATGACCTCGGAGGTTAATAGGACGTTATAAACGTAATGAAACCAGACTCAAAGAGGAACTTGAAACACTGTTTGACCTTTATTAACAAACACTAGCTATGAGCACAAAATGAAATTGACGCATGTACTATAAAAATAAGTTGGAAACATGTGTTGAAGCACTTTGTCAACAATTCAAGAAAATTCTTCCCTTGTATTTGTTCAGTGCTTCAAAATAACAAAGGTTCTTCCCGTACTTACTTATTATAGTAATAGTATTTTCCATAGATCTATGGACAATGTGGTAATAAACGCGATTTATTACATTGTGTAGTATAACAATATGTTTACGTTATACTTATAAAGCTCAAATCAATCCTGTTTACGACTTTTGAACTGCTGTTAAAGAAACAAATCTGGAAACAACACCCCTAATGTCATATCTAAACCAGTTATGGAGACCTCATCTCCAATTTAGTTTTTGGTATTGCCCTTTTGTGACTTCAGTAATGACCGGGAAAGTCTAATAAACCATTGTTATCATCAACAAAAGGAGGCTAGGAACCAGCAAATATTACATATATAAAGACTTATCCAGACATAATCAGCTGATAATAGACAAGAGAACTGGAATACGAAATATTACGTGAATCAGATGAATGGTCAGCTCAATGTTAACCTTTAGCTTTCATTTATTCCCGAAATTTAGTTAATGGTTTTCCTTAGAATCGTCGCGATAGATTGAACGCATTATAGAATCTGGTTTATTCATAACTGTTACGAATATGTTCGGAAGTCCTATTAGGACCACAACAATGTCGTCCAAATAGTAGGAATTATTGAATCGAAAGGTCACTCTATTAACGTCAACAGATCGTTAACCAATTCCTTTACAAGGTTCAGGTGCATTACATTAACTATAGATATAGAGAAATGTCAAACATAGGTGATGTGCATGATGAGGAAGCGTTATTATCGTCATAATAACCTCATTTTAAAATATTTCCATGTGTGATGTGACGTTAGAAGTGTCCGATATTCCTTTCCATTTCTGGTGGTTTCCTTGTTCCTGAACGTTGTCGTGAACGTGACATAGGCTGATATGGGTTGACGAAGATTTGCCTGGTGAATTTCATCGATGAAACTCGAGAATCTGTCAAACCATATTGTCTTGTTCTTGCATATTTTTAGGGGTTTAATTATATATATCTATTTGATGTTTTGATCTCGTTTCTTTAATATTGAGCCAGGAGTATTAAATTGTCAGTATTTCCCAGTTATTTGCGGAGATGCACGGTAATGAAGGATATGGAACTATTCAGGAGTGTGAGATTAAGGTGTAAATAATTAATATACAAGGTATATTTTTCTTAACTTTGTAGAAGTATATGGATAGCTTTCCACGGTTATGGCGCGACTAATGTACTATGTACTGATTTAGTCTATCAATATTTTATTGTATAACTTTCGAAAGGGACCGGATGTTACGTCAGCTTTTAGAACAAAACGCGTTTTGACAAGTATCTGTTCAGTTAATATCTGATATATGACAATTACAAAATTAATCTTATGGACTTGTGCTCTTCCCCATCTAGCGAGGTTTCTGTCGATCCCTTTATATTCTCCTCAGTCACCCCCCAGGCGTCAACATTTAGGTCCTTCGCAACCAATCTAAGAGGCATGAAACTGTTGTATGATGTAGTCTAATTGGCTATACTGTGTCTAACTCTAAATATATATTAGTTCAATATTTAAGAGTCCGATAACTCTGCTAACCATCGTCGCCCGCAAACGAGGACATATTTTGTTCCACTGAAGAATATATACCCTGCTGTTACACTTTGCTTTACATTATATTGCTTTTTAACGGTGAAATTTGTTCAGAATTCAAAAAAAAATATTATCGTAATGGTTTTGATGATAGGCATCGGCCTACTGTAATGATATAGTGAGGTGAATCATTAAGACATTGCCACAAAAATAGTTCTGTAATAATTCGGCGTAGGAATATTGATCGTGTACGACGGCAATTACGTTATACTCTTTATGAATACAATATAAGTGTTATATTGATGGCCATTTGTACTAGTAATGGAAAATAAGTTTCTCGTGGAAATGTCCTACATTTGTATAAATTAATAAAATAACAGATTGTGTCGATTTATGCAAAACGCGTTGATATGGGAAATAGTATTGTGTAATTAATGGGTTATATCTGACTATTGAGTCATCGAAGGTTGTGGCCATTACCGGAGGACACAAGTAGGCATGCGCAATGTGTAACGTCACTTGTGACGAGTGTGTTACACTTAACTTGGTAAAAAAACGTTGACCTCCTAAACCTACCGTAACCTGTTCATCACGTTTTAATTTATTTCAATAGTGACATGGTGACATACAGAGGTACTCGGCATTCGTAATGTTATGAAATATGACTTATCAATTTAAAAGTATTTATTGCACCTCGCCATGAATATTTTAACATTTTCTTACGACCGTTACATACTATCCTAACTCACCTCCTGATTGTCGACATTTAAGTCTCTTAACATCACTGACAAATCCTACAAGGAAGGATAGATAAATCCTGTTTCTAATTTGTTTTGAGCAAAGAGATCTCTCACTTCTCTCTATCCAACAATTCTTGACAATATCATGGACTTGTATGACCATTACTAACATGGTTTTTTGTTGTAGAACCTGACATTCCTATTTGAATTGACTAAGATTACCTGGAAATCTGTAATGAAACTGAAACAGACGCACCCCCTGCTTGAACACATGAACCTTTTCCATTGTACTATTTCAAAGGTCTCGGTGTAAAAACTATGATTTTAATATTGAGGTTATCTGTGCAAAATAATTTGTATTAATTGTTATGTCATCAGTTTGCGTACGAAAATTTCCTCACAAACGTATAACGATGCTATCACGAACAAATGACGTGAAAACCAATGATTGCACAAAAGAGTAGATACTTCTGCATTATGGAGAGACAGAAATTATTTCATATCTCACCGATGTTTCATTTTTGTTGGATATGAATCAACATTTTGTCAATGCTTACTTGTTTTTTAATGGTTTAAATTGTCCCAGTTTTTTTAAAAGAAAGAAAACAACAATTCATGCATTTTAACGGATTTCTTGTTACATAATATACATATTGTGCATCTCATGATTCCATTTTTCCACAGTTGTGTTATTCCATCCTTGTAAATAGCGAAAAAATAGAACTCGAAAAATAACCATGATTACGGTATCTTCTTGTCAAGGATGTCCTCGCTGTGACCAATTTAAAGGTTTAATGTAAAGTGACCGACGATATTCAAGAGTTTTCCAATCGTAGCCAGGTGATATACGATAAACTAAAAGGGTTCTGTATGGAGTCTTTGTTTTATTCGTCCTTGAAACAGTTAACATCATATTACCCTTCGCGTATAATGCTCCACAATTCCATAGTTCATGTTTGGTATTTCATAACCTCTGATTTATCTATTTTTTTTTTCAAATTCACAGATAAACACAGATGTTATTTGCGACATTCATTTCAACCCGAAGTATACTGATTTATTGGTGTCTACAGGGAAGGAACACATTGCTTGGTGGAAGGTTTACCGGAATAGTGGTACCATACAATCTGTGGCACAACCAGAGTATGAGGTACGACATAAGTTGTGACCATAATCTCGTTTCTATTTCCTTGTTTTAAGTAAAGTTAGATTTTTTCATACTCTACAGTGTACCTGGAAGTGTCGTTGGTCTTCACCGTATTCAAATTTAAGAACAAGATATTCCTTAAATTTTACTAAAACGTTAATAACGCGTTTTCTGATAAAGCAGATATTTTTCATCTTTCTGGAACATTTAGTTTTATTTTCCGTATGTGTACAAACTTACCTTGGTTTCCTCAAATTTCAGTTTGAACTGCTTGTCTGCTCACATATATGTATTCTGTTTTGCTACAAAGAACTAGAACTTCAAAGAGTAATGTACTCCACGGCGAAACGTGAAAATAAAATGATTTTTGTGATCAGCTTGAATCCTTAATTGAGTTGTAAGTCAAGAAGACATATTCATTGATAAATGGTGGACACTTGTTTTCTGTAGTATATTGATTCGCTGGAAAACTTGCTATATATCTGATATTCCCGTGACTGATTCATGTTTTTCTTGTCTACCTAAAATGTTGTAGCGCCACTGTTTAACTACTACTTCCCAATAATGTCGACGTATGGTTCCAATTTATTGAACATATTTGGATGCGGGACTTCATAGTATCTTAACATATATGTCTCGGCACACTCTCTAGATTACAGTATTCATTTGTGCTTGAACTTAAAACCGATTTCTTGATAACGAAGATACCGATGATGAGGATGTAGATATAGATTTTGAAAGGCACTGATTAGGCAGATGAAATGTGTTCTTAATAATATATTAATCAACCTGGCACCAAGTTAAAACATTAAAAAACACTATTGAATAGTAAAAAAGGTTTATGTTTTGTGATTCTTTTGTAGGTCAAGTCAAAAGCTACAATGTATGTCAGCAATACAGGGCCATTATGCCTCTTGTTTATAATCAAATGCATCTTTATACTTATCGAGAGTGAACAGTATTCGTTATCATTTCTTCGTTTTCTGGAGATTGATCTTCTATCACGAGTAGTGAACAGCCATGATGTCAGAACTGTATTAAATTAACTTTTTCATTTTTTAATTAAATTGTAATTAAAAAGTAAAATAAAACTAAAATTTTCAGTGATGGTCCGTCTGATAACCATTCAGGATATTATTTGAAATCTGGGCATCATTCCACACTTTTTACATTCAGATATCGATAGCAACACTGACACCAAACATAACTCTTTATAATATGTGCGATCCATGTACTAATAATCTTGCAAATATGTCACCCTAGCATACATGCACCACGGACGGCAATTTGAAACGCATGCTGCGTATCATCTGTTGTATTTCTCAAATCAAAATGTATTCTTGTTAATTATACCTGCTGTTAAAAACGGTAAAATCGCAGTCTGCCAGTTTAAGATCATTTTCCTTGAATGTCAGCACTAATTAAGTAGGATTACTTTCTCCTTTCCACTTACTACGATATGACCGGGACAGGAAAATAAGACTAGTCATAAAAATCACGTTAGAAAATATGATGGAATCTTTCATAAAATTATCAATAAATTTTAATTTTTAATATATAAGTGTTAACCAACTTACCCCAATGTGCCTGTTACGGGTGACTGAGGAACGAAAATAAAACATTGTATCAGGTATATCCATATTGTAATAATTGCTGAAAAAGAACATGTCAGAAGAATCTTAAATTAGGATAAAAAATGAGCAATAGAAAAGAGTTGCACTGCAAACCAACTGAATTATACCAGAATAATATGTGATGTTCCAGATAATATTGTTCTTTATAGCTCACATGGGACACACAAAACGTGTTTGGCAAGTAACACTTCATTGTTTAACATCAGGTGATCAAATCAATATATGACGTCCGCTTGAGAAGGGAGTGTACTACCGGAATTACCTTGTCGTCTCTCCTGCCTACCATCGCTCGTGAAATAAAAATGTGAATGAGCTACTGTTGGTTCCTCGTAACCACAAATACAACAGTTATTATATAACGGAGAAATGAAATACCGAAACAACAATCTTCCTAATTTTTTTACATGGCATTGTCCTCTAGGTTTACACTGTTACTGACCAACTAATCAGGTTTCTGATGTGTACCGGAAATAGAATCATTTTGTCTGTGACCCTCTCCTGATTGTTTTGCCTCCTCATATATACTATCCATTTCAACAAGTAATCATGTTATAACTTGTCGAGGTGCTAGTGTCAATAACTAAAGCTATATGTGAAACAAAAGTATAGGTCAACTGTGTGTCCTCTGATGTGGCTTTGAAGGTTGAAACAGTGTTATGCCGCAGTTCAGCTAAATATTTGTCTATACACCTGTCAATTTCTTAATTTGTATTGAAAGGTGTTACCTACTCGTGTGTCTTTTGTACATTTCTTCTATATCCAGAATGGAACGTCTGACGTGCCCGGTATCCCATGAATCAGACATTATACTTAGAAATGAAAATACAAATTACCAAATAAATGTACTGCAATTGTTTGTTTGAAGAAGCTTGAGCATGGAAAACCATTGCCGCGTTGTAAATCCTAAATTGTTAGATGGAATGATTGTGAAACTAATTCTGTATTAAGTTGTGTGATAATGATGTGCTCATGAAGCAATGGAATGTTAAAGTACTGTTATTGGTGAGTATTGTGGTCTGTCGTTACCGTATTCCTCCTTTGCGATTTCATTGTTAAACGTTCCTGATGGGATAACATTTTCATCATTTGTTCAACTTTACCTATCCATGCCCTTTCATCTCCTCATGTTGTTGGTGTTTGTACACTTTATCAAGATATAGAATCAGCTTGTTGCTTTCATTGTTCTGTTGTTAAATGTACAAGTAAGAAAGTATCACAATCGATATAATCTCTTCTTAAGAATCGGATTTACAGGAACGTTATACCATAAAGCATTTTAGTACCAGTTTATGCTCCTAATCCAAAATACTCTGTTGTATTTGGATATTTTTTGTTGAATGCATTAACATAATGTAAACAGGGGCTGGGTCTGTTAAGCTTGTTCATAAATTTATACAGGTATCTGTCATATGAGGGATCATGCCTTGGCAGAGTTTTTGAAAAAGCCGGTCAATTATCACAAGCTTGCGACCTGGGTTCAATTCCTGGTCAGGTCTGTTGATACCACTGTTTTGTACGTTATTTCACCATTTCTTGTAGACATACCTACGGGCGAAGTTTGTAATTTGTCTCACCCATAACGACAAAGGCGATCTTATTACTGGTGATTCAAATGGCACGATATACGTCTGGGGCGACGGAGGCAACAAAATCACCAATTTCATCAAGCATGCGCACGACGTAAGTTTTATTTAGTAACATAATTAACTCTCAGATCGTCCTTGTCAATCCTACAAGGATCTGCTTTATCCTGTCTGATTTTTTTTTCTTCTGGCATTGTGTATCCTTATATTGTTATGTTTAATGCTGAATCTTGTTCTTTCGGGAGACATACCCTACAAAATACAATAAATAAAAACTCATATCACTAGTGAAGGACTTTGTATCAAGTTTTAAAGTCACGATGGAAAGTATTTTATATGACCATCACTTTAATATCATAACTATATATTTACATACCCCTGTTGTCACTCTTGATTTACCAAGGCCATTAGCTTCACTGGCGAAAGTCATACAAGAACGAAAAGTAGTATGGTTTAATTTATTAATTGACTTTTCTGATCTGTATTTTTATTTTTGCGATTCCTTTGTCTTTTGCCTTTATTTATCCGGGAATGTATTTGAACCAGAATACGTGAGATTTATCACAAACGGGTTCTTCTCGAACAGATTGTAATGTTCAGAGTATTGAAGAACTGAGACAGTTAGATCTTTACTCTTAAATTGTTCCTTATTTTAAATGGTTCTTATTTTTGTTGAAGCGAAAATGTTTCGAAAAATGAAAGAAAATGATTGTTGAAAGGACATTGTCCAAAGGGAAAACAGAAATATGATAGGGGATAACGCAGTTGAATTTAAATCCCTATGTGGTGTCCATGGTAAATAACGATTTAAACTACATTGATGTCAACGGTCTTCGAATCAATCACTGCAGATATGTTATCAGATGTGCTGCCATTCAAAGCAGACCAAAAATCTAATAAAAGAACATATTAAACTGAGAAAATCTTGTGTAACTGATGTGCGGACTTACATTAAAAAACACTTTTGCCATTTTCTGCCGAAGGAATGGAATTCTATAAAAGACTTGTGTCTACTATTTGGCTTCTATTAAATTTTGTTACATTTTAATTAAATATCACTAACACCGATATGGCGCCGCTCAGAAATACCCTGTTGACTAAACTTAAGGCAGCTGAAAGTTTTCGTTACGCTTGAGAGACATTTAATGTGTTGAGTGTTGATGTGATACATATAACTGACTGACCATGCTTAATGATTATATAAACAGAAATGTAGGTGGTAGGCACCTCTCTCATTATCCCAGCTACATATCGTTCTAAGCAAATCGGGGCAAAAAAAAAAAAAAAAAAGAGAGAGAAAACTTTAGAGACAAGTATATAACCTTTATATTGTTAAGAGACCAGTATGTAACCTAATATTACCTTTATTTTTCTTAGGGGCCGGTATTTACTCTGCTGTACTCCAAAGGCCTTTTACTGTCCGGTGGCCGTGATGGTATGGTCTATTGTTGGACTTGGAATAAGAACATGGACCAATCGGGATCTTTACAGGTAGAAAAATCAACAGCAAATAAATGAACTATATACATTGTACTTTACTGTCGAAGAAGGAGGTTACAACAGAGTAATGAACTTGTTTTAAACCTACTGATTGATAGATAGGGAATCCATCTAGGGGAACGTTACCAAGTTAAACACGAATCTCCTAATGGTTAAGATCCCTCTTTTTCCTCTTACTTTGCTGACCGTCATAGCAAATGATATGTAGTTTATCGCTCAAATACGCATCAAATCGCGTCTTTAATGTGACGTCATAAATATGAAATAGGAATCCCCCGTCTCAATTAAAATTTTGGTCATAACCGAGGCTTTGTCTAATATCTGGTAAACACTATGATAATCCAGCAAATACAATGCTGAATAAAGTACTATTTCTATCATTCTAATTCATGCTGTTCTCGAGATGGTGTCAGCTGCCGACGGCATGATTATCATGATCAGCAAGAATACTATGACAGGCTTTTGACTATGATGTCATAAAATAACGTCATTCTATTGTGACGTCATAATGTCAAATGTCAAGTCATATACCCATGTGGGATAGGTAGAACCTTTCACGACCACTTAAGATGATATATCATGATCTGAACCCGAGAGTAAGAAGATTTAGAGAACAATCACGTGACTTATCATGTGACCTTTCATCTCAACAGCAAGGGTGTAAATGATTATTTTCTCTTACGCTTAGGTACAATTATGTGATATGTTGTCCCAGTCAGTATTCTGTTTTTGATGTGATTGAGTCGTTGATGTGACGTCAATAATTTGTTATTGTGACGTCATACCATTGTACTGACAAGAGAATCCCCAAACTCAACTCAAGGGCGAGACGAGGAAATGTTACATCACCAAACCGTTTATTTACCTGTCAAAGATAGAATCCCTGTACAGAGTAAGAAGAAGGGTTATCCTTCATGGGTGTTAAAAAAGGATAAGGCCATGCAACATAGGCAAAGTGTGAGGGAAAAGGGAATTTCAGCCTCAAAAAGCGTGATTACACCAGTCTAGCGTTGGACGATATGCAGTTATAGTCAGCATATGAATAGTTATTTAAAATATATCATTACACTCCTATCAATTTTATCTGAAAGCGAAGACGTTCGAAATACTTCATTATTTTACTATTTTAAGTCAGATGATGAATTACCAGCCTAATGTCGATGATGCTATGTTATCATCCTAGCTACTCGATATAATTATGAAATGCATTAGATTTTAGGGGTGTGACTGAACTGATATGACGTTGATTTTAATCGGTTACCTTCAGCTATTGCTGAATTCTTCTATTTATACAAAATAAGATCTATTTTAGCAGCATCAATAAGCTTGACAATCGTTTCAGTACCAGGTCAAAGAACCTTCAGTATTAGATCTCAGTAACGTTAACGGCATCATCGAGATTTAAAACTATAAGTGAACCATATTAGGCGAAATATGCACAAATCGAGAAATACCACATACATTTAGATAATATATGGTTGCACAAAATAGATATGAACACGGTAAATTAAAGAAAATTTGCTAAAAAAACCCTCGGAAATAAAACTAGGTTCGTTTTCCAATCGTTGTGTCCCTCTTACCACCAACCGTCGCGTGAGCTGTCCTCTTTCGAGGGTCTTAAATTCTAAACAACAAGAAAACAAAATGTCAATATTACTATAATCGAAAAACAAATTCCGTAAAACAAAATATGAACAAAAGAAGGATTTACTCGGAAACAACTGAAAAATTACAAGGAGAATAAGATTTAATATACTGTTAATACATTTAGTATATATATACAATTTTTCTCGGTTGACACTGAAATTTATCATTTCAAATTAGCATCAGGTTGGTCACAAATGTATATTCGGAGTTTCCCCTCTCTCATTCGCAGATGAAACGAAGATATCTAACGCAGTATCATGGGGTATACCAATATCTTTAACAGGTTATTGCCGTGCGTATGACATGAAAGACATACTTGTGTCTGTAAAGGTGACGAAACAAGCATAGGGATTGCACACAAAGCACACGTATTAAGTCTTAACAAGGTTATCGTGCATTCCCATTTAAGTGTTGTATCCGTTGTCAAATTGTGAATCATCAAGCGTCTTATCGCAATTGTCATATGTCGTATACACTTTGTGAATCATTAAGCATCTTATCTCCGTTGTCAAATGTCATATACGCTTTGTGAATCATTGAGGGTATTGGGATCTTTGTGAATTGTATATATGACTCGTAAAACACTAAGTATTGCATCCGTTGTAGATCCCCCGGTCAGAAGGCGGAGTGAGGATGGTACAAATTCACAATGAGACTCTACTGATAGGAACTACCATGAACTCCATGTTGTCGTCCTTCTTCCCTGCCAGTAAACAATCGCCAATGACTGACGTCACACTTGACGCGATACCAATTACACAGGTAAGTTCTAGTTTGTATTTTCCTATTCAAACCGAATGATAGTATTTTCCTATTCAAACCGAATGATTACTCAGGACCTACAGTAATTTCCCATTTAATTGGTTATCTCATTTATCTAATATACTGAGCCTCATAGAAAACGCAAGTACATTTTTTTCACGTGAAAATGTTTAGTTGTGACCTTTTGTATACTACTGGTGATATCAATAATGTAACGTTGTGTAGGCAAATGGTGAAATGACCTTTGTTTTGTTCACTCCTGTCACTGTTCATATCGACACATGCGTAATGCATATAATCGTGAATTGGAGTCACGGGTGTTGCCAATACAGGTGCGTTTTCACCGAGACGTGTCCTTTATAAAGTGCTCCGTCCTAAAGATATTCATTCAGTGAAGGCAGCATGAATAATGCTCATGGAACTCGATTAACACCCTTGCAGAAAAGAAAGGTTCTTGGAAGTTTGCAGACGGTAGCCAGGCGCTTGGGATATCGTGTTAGCACTATCACCAGTCTTGCTGGACGCTTCCAACCTTTGTAACCGTAACCTGTCTGCAACCAGAACAGCAGCTGCTATCAGAGTTAGAAGACGACCAGTGTCCGCCGACAACGTCCGGCGTCGCCCACGTTAACATGGCATTAACTGCAGACGTCCTGACGTAGGGCCTTTTCTCGCTCAGCGCCACCGACAGCATCGTCTTCAATGGGCAAGGCATCATCAACGATAAATTCTTGTTGACTAGCAACGAGTTCTCTTCTCAGACGAGTCTCGATTCCATCTTCCCCATACTGGTGGCCGTTTGCCTGCGTCGACGTAACAACTTTACATCGATTGTTGTGACCTGCAGACTAACAGATGGAATGGCGGTAGCGTGAAGGTATGGGAAGCCTCAGTTACCACCATCGGACACCTCTTCACGTTTCCCGTCAAAGTGCACAGGAGTGATGTACAGAGATAACGTTTTCAGGCCTTACGTTGTTCCAACTACAGTTTTGCCAGCATGACAACGCCCGTCCCAACACTGCTCCTTTGCGGAATTATGTAAATATTCTGCCTTTGCCGCCTCTTTTACCGGATATGACATCGATAGAACGTGTGTGGGATGAGAAGAATCTCTGCTGCTTGAGATCTTTTGACGTTGGCACAGCTGGAACAAGCATGGAACTATTTGCCCTTAGCAGTCCCAGACTCCGCAATTCCATGAGACGCCGTTACACATCCTGCATCAATGCCCAAGGCGGACACACGCATTACTGACTAATTTGTGATATTCCTTTCATGGGGGTATATTAATTAAATAGCCAATATAAATTGTAAATTTTATGAAATGAAATCTAGCAACATTTTGTTTAATTGCAATTTCAACAAACTATTAAATAAATCAGTAAAAATTCAGTTCCTGTTTTTGATTTCTTACAAAAACTTATCTTAAGTTGGACTTGCGTTTCATTGGGGCTCAGTATATGTTTGTCAGCTGCACCAGTTTGACAGGAAGGGCAGTTATCAGAAGTAATCATAGCGGAAGTAATCCTTACTGACTGTTTTCATCAACCGTTTGTTTTGATATAAAACGTTAACATGTTTTTTTGTGATTTGATGATAATTGATGTAGGAAGCCATGTTTTATCAGAACTTGTTTGTATATTGGCTGTTGTGTTTGATATAAGAAATGTAGCGAAAGTATGTTTACAAACACTTGTTTTTGATTGTGTTTACAAACACTTGGTATTGATTATATTTACAAACACGTGGTATTGATTATGTTTACAAACACTTGGTATTAATAATGTTTACAAACACGTGGTATTGATAATGTTTACAAACACGTGGTATTGATTATGTTTACAAACACGTGGTATTAATTATGTTTACAAACACGTGGTATTGATTGTGTTTACAAACACGTGGTATTGATTGTGTTTACAAACACGTGGTATTGATAATGTTTACAAACACGTGGTATTGATTATGTTTACAAAAACGTGGTATTGATTGTGTTTACAAACACGTGGTATTGATTGTGTTTACAAACACGTGGTATTGATAATGTTTACAAACACGTGGTATTGATTATGTTTACAAACACGTGGTATTGATTGTGTTTACAAACACGTGGTATTGATTGTGTTTACAAAAACGTGGTATTGATTGTGTTTACAAACACTTGGTATTGATTGTGTTTACAAACACGTGGTATTGATTGTGTTTACAAAAACGTGGTATTGATTGTGTTTACAAACACTTGGTATTGATTATGTTTACAAACACTTGGTATTGATTGTGTTTACAAACACGTGGTATTGATTGTGTTTACAAACACGTGGTATTGATTGTGTTAACAAACACTTGGTATTGATTGTGTTTACAAACACTTGGTATTGATTGTGTTTACAAACACGTGGTATTGATTATGTTTACAAACACTTGGTATTGATTATGTTTACAAACACTTGGTATTGATTGTGTTTACAAACACGTGGTATTGATTGTGTTTACAAACACGTAGTATTGATTGTGTTAACAAACACTTGGTATTGATTGTGTTTACAAAAACGTGGTATTGATTGTGTTTACAAACACGTGGTATTGATAATATTTACAAACACGTGGTATTGATAATGTTTACAAACACGTGGTATTGATTGTGTTTACAAACACGTGGTATTGATAATATTTACAAACACGTGGTATTGATAATGTTTACAAACACTTGGTATTGATTGTGTTTACAAACACGTGGTATTGGTAATATTTACAAACACGTGGTATTGATAATGTTTACAAACACTTGGTATTAATTGTGTTTACAAACACGTGGTATTGATTATATTTACAAACACGTGGTATTGATAATGTTTACAAACACTTGGTATTGATTGTGTTTACAAACACGTGGTATTGATAATATTTACAAACACGTGGTATTGATAATGTTTACAAACACTTGGTATTGATTATATTTACAAACACGTGGTATTGATTATGTTTACAAACACTTGGTATTAATAATGTTTACAAACACGTGGTATTGATAATGTTTACAAACACGTGGTATTGATTATGTTTACAAACACGTGGTATTAATTATGTTTACAAACACGTGGTATTGATTGTGTTTACAAACACGTGGTATTGATTGTGTTTACAAACACGTGGTATTGATAATGTTTACAAACACGTGGTATTGATTATGTTTACAAAAACGTGGTATTGATTGTGTTTACAAACACGTGGTATTGATTGTGTTTACAAACACGTGGTATTGATAATGTTTACAAACACGTGGTATTGATTATGTTTACAAACACGTGGTATTGATTGTGTTTACAAACACGTGGTATTGATTGTGTTTACAAAAACGTGGTATTGATTGTGTTTACAAACACTTGGTATTGATTGTGTTTACAAACACGTGGTATTGATTGTGTTTACAAAAACGTGGTATTGATTGTGTTTACAAACACTTGGTATTGATTATGTTTACAAACACTTGGTATTGATTGTGTTTACAAAAACGTGGTATTGATTGTGTTTACAAACACTTGGTATTGATTATGTTTACAAACACGTGGTATTGATAATATTTACAAACACGTGGTATTGATTATGTTTACAAACACTTGGTATTGATTATGTTTACAAACACTTGGTATTGATTGTGTTTACAAACACGTGGTATTGATTGTGTTTACAAACACGTAGTATTGATTGTGTTAACAAACACTTGGTATTGATTGTGTTTACAAAAACGTGGTATTGATTGTGTTTACAAACACGTGGTATTGATAATATTTACAAACACGTGGTATTGATAATGTTTACAAACACGTGGTATTGATTGTGTTTACAAACACGTGGTATTGATAATATTTACAAACACGTGGTATTGATAATGTTTACAAACACTTGGTATTGATTGTGTTTACAAACACGTGGTATTGATAATATTTACAAACACGTGGTATTGATAATGTTTACAAACACTTGGTATTAATTGTGTTTACAAACACGTGGTATTGATTATATTTACAAACACGTGGTATTGATAATGTTTACAAACACTTGGTATTGATTGTGTTTACAAACACGTGGTATTGATAATATTTACAAACACGTGGTATTGATAATGTTTACAAACACTTGGTATTGATTATGTTTACAAACACGTGGTATTGATTATGATTACAAACACGTGGTATTGATCGTGTTTACAAACACGTGGTATTGATTGTGTTTACAAACACGTGGTATTGATTGTGTTTACAAACACGTGGTATTGATAATATTTACAAACACGTGGTATTGATAATGTTTACAAACACGTGGTATTGATTATGATTACAAACACGTGGCATTGATTGTGTTTACAAACACGTGGTATTGATTATGATTACAAACACGTGGTATTGATTGTGTTTACAAACACGTGGTATTGATTGTGTTTACAAACACGTGGTATTGATTGTGTTTACAAACACGTGGTATTGATTGTGTTTACAAACACGTGGTATTAATTGTGTTAACAAACACGTGGTATTGATTATGTTTACAAACACGTGGTATTAATTATGTTTACAAACACGTGGTATTGATTGTGTTTACAAACACTTGGTATTGATTGTGTTTACAAACACGTGGTGGTATTGATTATGTTTACAAACACGTGGTATTGATTATGTTTACAAACACGTGGTATTGATTGTGTTTACAAACACGTGGTATTGATTGTGTTTACAAACACGTAGTATTGATTGTGTTTACAAACACGTGGTATTGATTGTGTTTACAAACACTTGGTATTGATTGTGTTTACAAACACGTGGTATTGATAATGTTTACAAACACGTGGTATTGATTATGTTTACAAACACGTGGTATTGATAATGTTTACAAACACGTGGTATTGATTATGTTTACAAACACTTGGTATTGATTGTGTTTACAAACACGTGGTATTGATTATGTTTACAAACACGTGGTATTGATAATATTTACAAACACGTGGTATTGATAATATTTACAAACACGTGGTATTGATAATATTTACAAACACGTGGTATTGATTTTGTTTACAAACACGTGGTATTGATTATGTTTACAAACACGTGGTATTGATTGTGTTTACAAACACGTGGTATTGATTGTGTTTACAAACACGTGGTATTGATTGTGTTTACAAACACGTGGTATTGATAATGTTTACAAACACGTGGTATTGATAATGTTTACAAACACGTGGTATTGATTGTGTTTACAAACACGTGGTATTGATTGTGTTTACAAACACGTGGTATTGATTGTGTTTACAAACACGTGGTATTGATAATATTTACAAACACGTGGTATTGATAATGTTTACAAACACGTGGTATTGATTGTGTTTACAAACACGTGGTATTGATAATGTTTACAAACACGTGGTATTGATTATGTTTACAAACACTTGGTATTGATTGTGTTTACAAAAACGTGGTATTGATTGTGTTTACAAACACTTGGTATTGATTGTGTTTACAAACACGTGGTATTGATTATGTTTACAAACACGTGGTATTGATAATATTTACAAACACGTGGTATTGATAATGTTTACAAATATTTGGTATTGATTATGATTAAAAAGGTTTGTTATTGATTCTGTTTACAACCATTTTGTGTTTTCATTTAAGATTCAGGTTTATCATAAAACTTTATAGATAATAATATCCCTGACCGACATATCATATTCTATCGGTCAACTTATCTGGCCTGATTTCCGTTCTTTACAGGGACATTTTGACGACCTACGTGGGATTGCGTGTGTTCCGGCGTCTGAAGTAGGAGGTGATTTCGTCACAGCTGGTCTGGATGGTATTATATGTTGGTTTGATTCCAATAGGCGGGATCCGGTCTGTAAATTAGTATTAAAGGTAAATTTTTATCGCTCAACAAGGTATATCATATTTTATGTATTTAATCATAAGGAGACATCATTTTCAGTATTTTTATCTACACTGAAACAAAAAGACATTTTATAGCCGATACTTTTTATACAGAATCCAATGAAGATATTTTTAAAGAACTTTTTATCTACACTGATATGAAATGCCATTTTATAGCCTAAACATTTGATACAGAAATAAAAGAAGATATTTTCTAAGAAAAGTTCCCCGTTTGTATTTCAAATTAAGAACACGTGGTTGACGTTTTGACGTCAGCACACTATAAAACGCGTGCATAAAATGACTTTTTGATTTCGCGGTTTATTTAGAACACAAAATAATGAACGCCAATCCTTATCACGTGGTCGCCTTTTGTCCGGCGTCGTTTTTTTTTATAGATTTTAGAAAATCAACCCGTAATTACTTTCCTTTACATAGGATGAATCAGTTAAGGTATAATTTAGATATGTATCATATGTACAATGTAGGCCAAGTCAGTTCATTTTGTTAATTAGGGCAATTCTGTGACATATGTTACCAAAACAATGACAATATTTTTAAATCTCAGATGACTGTATAGGACATAAGCCATGTAATCACGTTTTAATGAATTCTTTGATTATTTCATGCAACTCTGCATTGGTCAGTCGTTTGAAAATGGCATATATTTTTATGGTCTGGGGTGAATGAATGAAAATATGAAAAAAATTATGAAAATATTTGCTGCATAAAGCAATAAATTATCAATGTTTAATACATAAGACCTAGACGTTAACAGAGTTTCTTAGTACAGAAATGGTTACAATATAGCCAAATTATAAATCAAACTGCATCACACACAGTGATAGTTCGGATTGGTTTTATTCAAAAGTTTGACATTTTTCTTTTTGATATATATCATTTCTGGCATGTCGAATGAAACCTTATATAAGATTTCCATTTTTAATCCAAAACAAAACAAATAATGCACATTGTGTTATCTGAAACAACTGTTTCATTAAATACAGAACCTGTGTTGATGGTTTAAAGTACTAAATGATTTTCATGTATATAATGTTGTATATTTTTTACTTTTTCTCTTGTTTAATGTTGTTCCTATTTATTACGTTTTCCCCTCCCATTAGACTTACTAAACGGTTTGATTTGTTAATATGGTAATAATCAATGTTTCGTTCAACACGAATAACACGTCTTACAAAGTTTAAAAATTATTTCAGTAAGTTATTTCTTTAAAAGCCTTTGAAGATTTCGTTATTTATTCGTTAAGAGTAAGACATTTTAATCTGTCTCCAAATCAGATATTTTAGGTAAGCATTTTAACTCAAAATAGTCAATTTGAAATGCCATTATTTGTCGCAGATGCGTTAACAAGTAACAGCAGCGGAACTTAATTTTAATGACTTATGTCAATATTAATGTAATTTGACTTCATTCTTAAAATGTTTTGTCTTTGGCAGGGTCAGCAGTTTCTGTGTATCGACAGTAATCCGTCCGGAAAACTGATCGCCCTTGGGACAAAGGACGGACAGTGAGTAACACTCCAGATTACACATGTCTCACAGTGAAATCACACCCTGTACAGCATGACATTTCAGCTGCTTTATAATCCTTAAAGGTTCTGTTCCATGCTGACGTGTGTCTAGACTGTTACTTTCCTCTTAATATATCAAGCAATAATTACCTTTTAATTCATTATAAGACAAGAAAAGACATTTCTGTATCTGTATCTGTTTCTTCTCTGGCTTTCATTGGTATAACTATATACACAGACCGCTAGAAAAATCACAAATATATAGCGCAGGATAAATGGATTCATAAATTAGACTTATTTTATAAAACGACCAATAGATTAAACCAAAAAAAATTAACTCTACTACATTCATCCTGATCCGTTGATAAAGTATAGTTATCAGATGATGCAAAATACTTCAATCTTTAAAAGCATAATCTCTCATATAAAGAGATTACATCCGAATCGCAAATTGGAAGTTTGTAAAAATGGTTCATGCAGAAATTACAGAATACGCATTGAGATATTGTTGCAGTATCTCGTCAAAAGGTAGATGAATGATTGTATAATTAATTAGATTGGTTATAATGAGTGCAAAATTTGTACTTCGTTCGCCAGTGCTCGCATCAATTTTGGAGCATACTTTTTCTAAAATATTTAATTTGAGCTAACGAACATTTTTGTAGTGTCAGTGTCATGTGTGTAATCGAATCTTAATATAAGAAATACTGGCTACAAACCCAATTGATTTCAATCATTAATGCTTTAACGTTGAACCTCTATATAAAGACCACCTACCTAAAACGTTAATTTTCACTGTTCCGTGGGGCTTTTTATATGGCTTCCTGTCATAAGAATGCTAAATGCATTTTATCATTACCTGTAATTATATCTATATGTTTCTCGACGTTTTTTACGATTTTTCTTGAAATACCGACTCAATTTGTGGCTAGTTCAATGTTGAAACTTAACGGTTGACTGATGGGTGTGAATGGCAGATATTTGGTTACATGTTATTTGATAAAAAGTTGTAACTTCATTACAGGGGAAGATCGCCAGGAACAAGTAAATACACGAATAAAGAAAAAATAAAATCAAAGCAAAACATACTTTTACAATTTTGTAAACAACAGCTCTGCTGTTCCACTATCACGCTCTGGAATCACTCATTTCAATGCATAGTGAGAAAAGCAACAAGAAAATACCAACACGTAAATAATATGACAATTCAAACTCAAATTATATAAAATGTAGGGCAAAAAATATAAAGAAAACATATTTACCTTGAGACTCTTGAAAAAGTACAAAGATAATGAAAAAGAGAAGGAAATAGCAACATATCAACAAAATGAAAATCCAAACTCAAATTCAATAAAAGAAAGGAAAATGTGAACAAAAGAAAGATTAACACGGAGACTCCTGAATAAGACCATGTGTTACGGAGTAGTAAGCGTCTTTAACTCTCGCAATATAATGCATCATATAACTGTTTCATCCGTCTTGAACTCGTTCATAATGCAAGGTCCTGAAGCATGAAATCTAGGAGATGACTGAAAAGAAGATCAATATTGATCGAGGGAAAGGGAAACTGCATCGACGACTTTTCAAACGAGTGACGAACAATATAACATATTTTATCACTCCACACAATAGTTTTATTAATGGGGAAATACATATGTTACCCAAAGGCCAGTGACAATGATAAATCCCTTCCAAAGGACATATATACAGTAATATATTATGTTATAAGATTACAACTGTGCCAATAAAGCTTAATATATTTTGACAGCACGTGATGTCCACATAATTCCTAAAACAATAGTATTGCACCTTCTCTCACATCGATGAAGTCTCTTGTGGATTGTAATAATAATCCCACTTCGTCTGTCTCGCGAGGAATTTGTATTATAACAGAATTCACGTCTTGGTATAAACTATTCATGAAGAAGTCCCATTTGTTCTCTGTATCATTAATACGATTTACTTATTGACAATTAACGTCACAGTGAGAAAGCCTATTGCTTCTATCCCCAACATCTGGCAATGCAAAGTCCGTTAAAAGGTTTCCGTTTTTCTTGCTGCTTGACATTCATCTTTGAATAAATTTTCGATTAGGATATAATGTGGTCTGTATATTTTAACTGCTAGGGTATCAATCTACCGTGTCCAGGATGTGATATATGTGGTGGAAATAACAGACCCAATAGGCCATCTTAATATCACATTCAGTTACAACTACTTAAAGATAAAACGAACGTTATAGGATTATTTCGCCACTTGAACAAGGCCATGTTAAGCGACTACTGTTTCTTCTGTATTTTCATTTGCCCGATTATGACAAGAAATTACACCCGGTCCCATACTTTGCCAATTCTTTGCTCAAATACAAATTTGTACTCAAGTTCAAATATCTTTGCTGATAAATCTGATATCTACATTAATATTTTGTTTTAACTGGAATGCATTTCGGTAAATTATATATCATTTTCAATGTTAAGATACTTAGCTCACGTGGTTTAAACATTCTTGCGCGAAAAACAATCAGTCTTGTCCAATTTGGTCAAAAGCATCCGTAGATGAAAGATAATTAAATGTTTTAATATAGTGTGTCTCATACTCCTGTGGCTGGAGGGAAGAAACCAACAATCCTGTTGTTAGAATGTAAAGATTATGTCCCCTATTTGGAAAATAATTTTAATTTGTGTTAATGGTTGATTCCGCATCTAGAGGTTGGGGGGAAGGTATTCTGTAGAAATTATTAGTTTGTTGGAATTTGGTCCATCTTTTCCCCGATAAATAAAATATTGCTATGAACTGTTGGTTTTGTTGATGATAATTAAAAAGTAACTTGATATTCTATAAGAAATATATCACATTGGGAGCGATGCTTTTACTCGGAAACTTCTTTGATGTTTTTGAAATTCTGAATATATTCTATGACATGTATAATCCTTGCATGTTGACAGTGTGATTTTGATTAAGATTGAGGGAGAGAGCAGTTCTGATGCTTTCAACAAGAAGATCTGCAAGGACCGTATCGACACAATTAACTTCTCGCCAGGCAAGTCTGTTTATACCTGGTGTTACGACCTTTACATTATTTGGTTCAAACAAACATATCCCTGTTTTATACACTTGACTGTAAAATGATAAACTGTCAGATCCACAGACGAACTTGGATATTGAAGTCGACATTAGTTCTATTTTATTCTGTTATATTGGAGACTTATTAAACATCAATGCAGTGTTGATGTAATTTAATGGTCTAATAATACAATCAGTGAAAAATATTTTGAATAGATTAATCTTCTAGACAAGGACATCTATTTAGATGTCTCTATGAAGTGTTAACTACCCGTTCTCGTTTATTTTGAAACCGATAAAAATAGTAAAATTATTCCGACCGTGTAATATTTCCTATCGTTCATATTCATTTATCAATCATCATATGTAAAACAAGGTACAAGTGTATTTCGTATGTTATATTAGAAACCAATAGCACCACTTTATTGTTAATGACATCAGTATAATGGTGATGGTGATGGGTGGTGGCGGAAGGGAGGCAGGAGTGTGTTAACTTCTCGATAACGTGTAACTGAAAATATATTTGAAATACGAGTAAAAATAAAAATAATTGCAGTATTATTTGAATAGATTTTCTACATAGTGTATGTATTACGCAATGTTCTAACAACTTTTGTCGCTTTGATGTTGATCAATATTCAATAAAAAAAGGCAACATACAAGGTAAATTTTCGTCATTTGGCCTTTTCTCAGTAAAGTAGAAAAAAAACAAAAGTGGGTTAATATGATGTCTACAATAACAGTGGAAACGACAATGAAAGTCGTATTCAATATATTTTGAATTACTTCTACACATATCATGATCTCAATAATATATTGCGATGGGTATACTTTAGCTCTATATCAATAACTCTGTGATCGACACTCTCTATATATTTACAGACACGGTTTAGGTTTCATTTACATATATCGTATCCTCGATGATAATCCAAAACTCTGGTGTGTTTCTCTCTTGATTTCTATTATAAAGGATCCATGTTCGTATATCATGGTCTAAATGTAAACCTCATGTTATGATGTTATCTATATTTCCATGTAGATTACCAGACTGTAGCGGCTGGCAGTCATGACCAAAGCGTTTATGTGTTCTCTGTGCAACAGAAAGACGATGGCTCTACTCCCTGGGAATTCGTCGGGAAGTTTAATGTAAGATTCTGCAGTTCTTGAGGCAATTATAGCAGTGAAGAGATTATTGAAATAGGTTACAAGACCTTTAGGTATATTGATAATGTCTTGATTACGAAGCTAACAGGATGACCTTTCCGAGATGCCTTCTGATAAGGTCACGATTTATTTTTAAAGAATAACATGCCTGCTTCCCTAACATACGTTGTTAACATGTCGATACTAAAGGAATCGTTCCCAATGTCACGATTTCCGTGCAAAAGTATTCACTTGTCAGAAATAAGTTACAGCACAGGGCCTAAAGAGACGCCTAAAGTTGTAGATTGTTAAGTGTTACGGTCGTCAAAATAGTATTTTTGTACGTCTGTGTGTTCGCGTTAGAATTGAGAGACACCTACTTGTCAGTATTGTCTTCCTTGATATGTTCTATTTTCGCGATTGTTGTGTTTATTTACAGGTATGCTGTTTGTTCCTCTGTTTAAACAGTAAATCTCTATTTACGTCATATTCCCTTATTGCACATGTTGGAGAAAACTTAGGGATACGTATTTGATAAGATAATATCCATTCTTGAAAATAATAATTTTAATTGTAGGAATAACGTCTTGTACAACCAAAATTAATACAGATGTAGTGATTTTAACTACGTTAAGTCGTCAGTGAACTGTGATCGTGATAAGATAATTGAACTTTTCATTCCGGAGTAAAATCGTGCATAATTAAGAAGCGGTATCTAAAATCCGTACATCCAGTTTAACAAACTCAGATATTTCAGTTATGAGTATTATTCAATGAAAATAACAGGAGTAAAAATAACAGGAAAATACCAACATGTCAACATGATCATAAACCAACCTTAGATTTAATAAAACTAAATATGAAAAAAGAAAGATTCACGCGGAGACTCCTGAAACAGAACAAGAAGAATAAGACCAGGTGTTCTGCTAGCCTCTTCTGCTTCATCGATGACACTCGTAATGTAAATATTTGGCAATCGAAGCAAGTTCATGTTCCCAATAAGGGTTATTCACCAGGTTGTCCGTCCAATTAGCATTACTACATCGCTGAGGAGGTTTGTGATGAAGACCTTCTATTGTTCTTTCTGTATCCCAGGGGCATAATGGACCTGTTAACGGACTAGATTTTTCATGTGAGAAGCAGAGCGGGTCCTACCTTGTCAAAAGCTGTTCTACGAAACCCGATATCCAATACTGTATGTATCATTGCATAACTTCATAACACTATTCAAGAAAAAGAGATGTTTGAAGCAACATATATGGGGGGAGTGGCATGATATAAAATCGATATTTCAAGTTTTATTATATACTCTATTTGTACCTTGATCTTAATTGCAAAATCTCAAATCTGAAATACAATGTGGGAATTTTAACCGAAATGAATATTAATGCAATTGACAATGTTTTTCCTTACTGTTTGAAACGTTTGCCTATGAGTGGCGTTATATGATTATACCGCACTGAATATTAATATATATCACCTTTTCCTGTCAAGGGCGTCTGGATGACCAAACGTCAATGGCAGATTGTGACAGTACGTCCATTCAATGGTCAACTCATCATTGTAAACTGGACAGCCACGTGTACGGCCTGTGGTGGTCCAAGCAGGCACAAGAAAACGATGTCAACTGCATAGACGTCAACAGCTCAGGGAATCTGGTTGCTATGGGCGACAGCAATGGATATCTTAGCCTCTTCCGGTATCCTTGCACTAAAAGAGGGGTATGCTTTCTTAAGAATCAGTTGCCATGTTTAGTATTAACATTTCGCATAGCACATCATTTTCAAGTTACAATGTTTTGCCTGTGGAAAAGACTTTTGTTATATAATATAAATAATTTCTCGACATTTCCACAGATCATTTTCGCTTTTTCTTGATTCACCTCCCAGATTAAAAAATTAGACCATTAGTCTTACTGATGAGTCCTAGATGAACGAAACGGCTGTAGGATGCAGTTTAAGGTAGCATTCGACTCTGCTTATATAACTCTAAATTTGTATTGAAAGGTGCTGCTGTTAACTTTTATACTGTCTTCTCAAGATTGTACAAAAGACACACGAATGGATAGTACATCTTGAATTAATTTTAAAATAGAAACAATAAAACCAAACATATAACTTAACTGCATCATACAGTTGTTTCCTCCTTCATCAATATTGCTAAGGATTTAATCTTGGATCCTTTGAGGCGACTGACGTAAGACTAAAGTAACAGAAAGGATGCAAAAGATCTAGATGAGAAGGTACACCAGCCTCAAAATCCAACCGATTTCTGAATTTTCATACATCTGATAATTTTAGGGCATGGAAAAGTAAAACATGTAATTGTTTTGAATTTAATCAATATAAGGGCCAGAATTTAAACAGATATTTGTAAATTGTGATTTCATTATACGTAAAGTGTAATCTTCTTATTTACAACTCGTATTATTTGGAGACTAGATTTAATTCATTGCATTTCATCGGATCGTGCCTAACATTACACATATGAATCGAACTCAATGAAATCAAATATTCGATTATCCCGAGGTTTTCCCAAGGTCCCGCCCAGTTCGAGATAACGAGGTTCGAATGTGTGTTTATTTAAACAATATGAAAAGATAATATATTTTCACTAATTTGTGTTTTTCAGGCATTCTGTCACACATACAAGAGCCATACATCCATACAGAAAGTCCTTTTTGTATACGGGAAAATATTTGTTGTCACTATTGGAGGAAACGATTCATGTATTCTACAATGGCGAATCGTGTGATTAAGAAAGCCAACTAGACTCTATAACCCATCATTTCGTTTACCAGGAATATCTCATATCGTCCTTCGATTCGGAATACCATACCACAATCAACATAATTGAAGACGGTTCATTCCTCTGTATACCTCGGTAGATGTCAGTCGTCAAAATATGCAAACACTGAAGAATTCATCTATACAACCATTGATCAGAGAGGCTTGCACACTACACTTAAATCCTTTCTATGTGTCGTGTGCAAAAACTGGTTTATTTGTGTTTCTTGACAGAAAGCAAATTAGATACATATTTCTTCCTGACTCGAAATGAATAATCTGTTGTCAGTATGATATGGTCGGATATAAATTTCTGCTTTCGACAGAATGTTCTGGTGTGTTTGCACTTTAAAGTTTGATTCCACTCACTATCACCAGGGCAAATGCACAGACTTAAGTCTCCCCAAACACTCGGCTGTCAGATAATTCATTGTAAGTAAAGGACGGTATTTCTCAGAGATCAGGAAGTTGTGAACAACACAGTAATACCCAGCATTACAACTTAAGACATTGATATCTAGCTAGACCTGTGAACGGACTACCCTAGTGCGACGCTTGGGGTCAATGAGTTCGTGACAGGACTGGGACCCGGATGTTGACCAGCTATCAGCAGTATGATTAAGGGATATGAAAGTTACATAAACGAGTTTTCCAAGTTTTCAAAGACTTTCCTCCATTTGTTTGGTCATGACGTATGTAACTTACCGGTACAAGAATGTACGAAGATTAGCGACCGATATCAAATGGTCCTCACTGACCTTGAACTTTCGTATTAAATTGTACATATGTATTACATCGTGCGGCATACTTCCTTTCAGAACAAATTCAACAGAACTACGTGTACCTACTCGGACAAAAAACTTAACATTTCCGTGAATAAAATATCAAATAAATTGAATTTTGCGTCCTTGAATATAATGAAAACATGATGCGATACTGATAAGGTTTTAGCGTAGCAACTTAAAACATAAGAATAATTCCAAATGACATAAATCCTGTATTTATCCATCTTCTATTCTTAAAAAATATAAAGACGTTTGGATATTTTTCCAAGATGAGGAAAGAAGCTGCAATATTCGTTTTCTGATCTTAAAAATCTGAAAGAGTGATCAATTAAGTCGGATTTCACGGATATTCGAGATTTATTATGATGAGTCATCATACGTTTAGTTTTAATCGACACAGGAATTTGATATCTAATTAAAACTTACGTTAGGTCAAGTGTCAAACGAGTACATCCTCTACAAACAAAGTGGATTGCAGCATTTACCTGCTTCTGTTACACTATAACTCTTGCTTTCCTGATTTCGTAAAGATATTAAAATGTATGTGTGTATGAGGGAATAATTCACGCTGTCATCATAAGTGCGACCAACACAAAAATCAATAAATATTGTAGAGATAAGCTGTAAGATTTTTTAATATGTGTAGGTTTCCATTGATCAGTACTATCAATAACCAATGACTTTTGTTTAGAACTATGATATATATTGATGTGTTTTACTCTTAACATAAAGCGGTCAACATCAACCCTGCGTGACCAGAAGAAATTCTAGAGTGTCATAAAGACAATGGAAATCTAGAAATGAACATCAATTCCCTGAGGTGAAGCTACCTTATCTTTTAAAGGTTTGACATTACAGACGGTGTTGTTTAGAAAAAAATATGAAAACAATATTTACAGAACAATCAAACAATCTCAAACTACAAAGTATCAGTCTAAGAATATCCTCCCAATTGATGTTTTTACGTGATACGCGATATACGGATTAAAGACCTTAGTGAAATCAATCAAACAAGTTTCCGATTGTTACACGGACATATTGGTGTTTTACGTGATTCGAGAAATCAAGAGATAATGCAGATCTCATTATGAAAACATGCTGGAAAAATTGTTTTGTATGACGCAATGCCGCTGGGCATGTACAGTGTCTCGTAACAAAAAAAAACATTAAGAAATAAAGTACAGGGATATATGCCCAGGTGTTCTGGATGAGTAAGCGTCTTCTGTTTCATCGATGACTTATAAATCTTTGTCAATCCACTTTCAAAATGAGAGCAATGTATTCCGCAACGAAACCGCATATTAAAGAGCGCCAAACAACACGCCCAAATTCATATCGCACAAAAATAGAATATTTCTCAATGAGATCACTTTGATGACTGTAAAAACCCCGAATTATTTCATCAATTTGCAATTTTCGAAACTGGTTTGAACTCTAGCGCGATACTCGTGATAATGGGAGCATTCCTTTGAGCATCGAATCACCTGCAACATGGATTGGGGACGCATTATGTTTCTTTCCAATATTTGAAAAAAAAAGGAATTGAAAGCATCACGCTTATGAAATGACAGTTGTATACGATCGGTATAAACGGTGATGTAAATAGATAAATAAAACTCATTTGGTCTTTCTGTTCTGGGAGTTATTGATGATGTATAAACATTTGTACCTTTGAAACAGTAACTTTAATTCACATATATTAACAACATTTTCCCTGTTCACTTCTTTGTAATTTATCCAACAATTTATTGTTTCAGAGAAATTCAGACTAATTTCTATTTATATATAACTGGTTAGATATTTGCATCAAGTTTATAGGAAACTTGTAATTATATTTCACATATCTACAGGATATATTGTATTCTCTTTCTGCTATATACATTGTACTATACATATTTTACCCTATGCATTCTATATACATCTACATTGAAGTCGATCTGCTTATTGCAACACCTTGTTTACCTTTCTTTCCTCCTGATATGACTCTTGGCAGATTAGTGAGGTTAAAATCAAAAGGAACAGAATTAAGCTCAGACTAGGGTCATCACAAACGTCAAGAGAAGAAGAAGTCGCGTAAAGGTCTTCAAATATTTCACATATATTTCACTGAAAGCAGCCAAGGTCAAACATTGGAACAAACTCTTCATTCAGGCATGTTTTATGTCCACTTTCAGTGCTCCGCATCCTTTGACGAATTAAAAGTCGTTTCAAGATTTCAATTAATTTGACCAAAATGTTTTACAAAGCAAAATATGAGAAAAATATCTTACCTGAGATTTTTGAAGAACCAGTTGATTAATGTAGGTAATTCGTTGACTTATATCAAAATACATCAACACACAAATCTCCCTCACACACATGATACATCAACAAAAAGCTATGGAATGACATCAACCAGAACCGGTGTAACTTCATAAACACACTCGGTGTATACTGAAATATAGACTGGCATGGTATTTTCGATAATTACAGATTCGGATAACAAAAGGCGACAGAGCATAGTATAATGCTCTCGTATTGCTGGGGTGACGTAAAAGCAATCCATCAACAGGGAACAACATTTTTAAATCTTAAAACTAAAACAGTGAGACCAACATCATTACTTAAGATTGATATCAGAATGCACACATTTTACAATCAGTGTTGCTCTATTCAGGAACGATTTTTTTATCCGCATTGGATCTCAATTGACATATTTATTGAGACGATGGCGTGCGGTATGCCTTTGGTGCGTTGAAGAAATGTGTTTTCCTATTCTCTAAAACCTATATATAAGGAATAGCACACGCACAATGCTTCGACCTGATATTATGCATGAGACCTTCATCAGACAAGGTGATTATGATCAATGTGGAAAGTTTGAGGACATACCTTGTCACATTTCTTCTCCGGTATGTAATGTGGATACTTCTATCCCTGTCGGAGAGAGGTTAGATTTTGGCAAACCAGGTATATACTAGTCTCTTAGGAGAACTACTAGATTTTTACAAACCAATCTTTGCCGTGAGTATAAATGCTCTTCCATTGGTCTATATCTCTTTGCACTGCCAACAATCATCTTCTTTGACAATAGCGTGTAGCTCTAGATCCAGTTTGTCCAAACTCCACTGCATCGAGTGATAATCTCAACTTACATAGTAATTCATCGCATCAACTTTCTTTTGTTGATAACTTCCCCATGTTCTCCTTTTACTTTGAATGGTTACGTTGTGTTGACATGCCTATTTGTCGTTTGTGAATGAAAAGTTATATCACGAGAACATAGAAAGCAGTGTTAAATTTAGGTCCACTGGTGGATTATGATCATTTGCTTTGCCAGATGTTACTAGATGGTTATAACTGACAGTGATCTTAATGAATCAAACTTAAAATAGCAGAAGGTCTGAAAATATGTCCTTAATCTCCTCAAACATTTATCGCAGCTCGAGATTTTTACTGAAATAACATGTTTCTGTATTTTATTGACATTCCATTTTTCGGTGAGATTATTTGCCAACTTGAGGAACATATAAAGAAGGTTGACCAGGCTAATGTGGGATAAGACGTAGCTAAATGGAGTCGATCTAAAGGAACGGAGTTCAACATGTTCTTCTTACATGTGATATTACCTTGTCTTTCCTTGAGTTTACATCCTGGACTGTCCAGAAATTTTCCCCAAACAAATCACGCTGTGTAGATTTACACCTTACAAAAACAACTCGATCGTGTACACCAGCAGATTCGCACAAACCATATGACAGAGCATTGGCTTTAAGTCCACCTTCAGTGCATGCTTATATCCCATTGTGTGGAAACAATTCCTTGCTACCTCGTTACTGGTATTTTAACCTGACCTGATGTGTTGCAAGCCCCATAAACAATGATTTATGTCCTCCGCTACGTGTGAACCGTAGGCTGTATTACCGCAACAAAAAAATCTTGCAATTTTGTTTTTTCGGTTATATAAAGATTAGTTGAGAGATTGATCTCCTGTTACATTTTGTTGATCTTAATTATTAGTAAAGCTTATAATCTTTCATCCAAGTTTTATATTCACCTTTTCATTGTAGACTACTGTACAGCTGTGAAAACGATATACTTATTATTTGCGTTGATACAGAGACAACACTAACAAATTGTACGTGTTTTTCTGGACTTTCACTTTCAATTTATTTTTCTTTTTTTTCGTTGTGCATTTTGATTT